CTGAGAAAGCTTTTTCATGAAGGGTGCCCCATTGGGCGAAATTATGGGGCCCCATGTGCTTTCTCAAGCTCTGAATGCCTCCGAGCACCCAGTGTTCCGCAGAAGTTGGAACACAGTGGTTTGGAAGGCAGCCGGTTTTGCTCCATGCGGAAAACTCTCATTGCTCACCGGTTTTGCTCCATGCGGAAAACTCTCATTGCTTACAAGCTTACACGTGGTACCAAACCACAAACAGGTCACACATAGAGGCTCCATGAGCAGTCCACGTGATTAATTGACGCAGTGGCACGTTGTCCATGCATATTATGGCAAGGGATTCCAGGTCGCCTGGAACGAATACCCTGTCGACATCATACACATAGTGCTAAGCTCCACGAGTGGCTTTTGTCTCGGGGCAACTGGCAAAGTGGGACTCCAGGTCACGCACCAGCAGGTTACGCGGACGGTATACTCCAAAGACCTGCTATTATTTTTTTTGGAAAAGAACGCTAGGGGAGAGTGCGCTGCATGAGCATTTGTGCGGCAACCAGTTTGCCTGTTTTTGACAGAAGATTGGTGCTAATGCGATGTCTTCAAGGATTTCTTCAAAGCAGCACGTAAGCATTTCAAGCTGTGCTAATAATTTGGGGAGCGATGCGTTCTTGCAATGAAGAACTCGTGCCTGCACTGCTTACACGCGATGGCGCCCTCGGCCGTGAGAGGTTTCAGGATGAAAACCGCGAAAAAATGAAAGCACAAAAAGGACGAAGGCTCCTTGTTCTGCGTTTGGCGGTTTTTGCAGGGCACGAGCAGGTCTTGACATGAAGGTAGACCTAAGCCTAAGGCCTTTTGGTCAGGAAAAGGTCGTTTTGTGAACACTGGCTTCTTTGAGTTACGATAGATGAGAACCAGAAGCAACAGGAGCTGTCAGGGTGAAAATAGGTTGCTTCCAAGAGTCATTGTGCTCATAGTTCAAACGAAGGATTTATTACAGGTGGCACGTAAGGATTTCGATGCCGGCTCACGTTTCTAGATGTTCCGATATCGCTGGAGTTTTCAGAGTAATGTGGAGGCTCATGGGCGAAAGGAGAATGACACCTGCAAGTTTGCAGACCAAACGGGCGCGTGAGGCTTTCCTGAACGTGCCCTTCCCCAAGTGGCCGGAAGAGACTCCTGTCGGCAGCTGGATTGGCCTGCTGACCGAAGAGTACAACAAGTTTACGCGTCGTTTGAGCGCGTACGAGCTGCAGTCTGGCACGTATGTCTCTGGGCTGAAGTGCCAAACGTTTGCGAGAGGACGCATCCGCTTTGAAACAAACGAGTAAGACAACAGAGGGCACATGCAAACGAACACCGGCTTCAAAACGGGGGTGTTTTGCAGGATTCATGTCGCACGGAGGTAACACGCAGCACCCAGGGAGCACAATGCGTTGTTCAACGGAAAGTTGAACGCGCTGTGTCGGGCGCAATAAACTTTGACTATATAGACAAGCCTACAGGAGCAGGGCACAAGTCACCAGTGAGTTGTGCAGGCTTCGGCCCCTGTTGCCGCGTTACTGCGCACAGACCTGCGTCTTTGTTATGTGTTTACAGCATCAACAAACTGCAACTCCAACGGCAGCAAACACATCAACAACAAGGACCACCGCCACGCCCGCGGCCACCACCGTTGACTACGACAACAACACCGACAGCAGCAACACCAGCCACAGCAGCAGCGACAACAACAACAACAACAACAACAACAACAACAACAACAACAACAACAACAACAACAACAACAACAACAACAACAACAACAACAACGTACAACTACAACAACTACACTACTACTACTACTACTACTACTACTACTACTACTACTACTACTACTACTACTACTACTACTACTACTACTACTACTACTACTACTACTACTACAACACACAAGCAACAAACAAATTCCACAAGCAACAAACAACAAACAAACAACAACCAACAACAAACAACAACAACCACCACAACCACGCCACCCGGACCACGCTAAGCTACTAAGCGCTGGCTGGAAAAAACGAATCATGTGAGCATGTCTCGTGTGTCAGCCTCTTTTGATCGCCCGGTATAGTGTCACAGCTGGGAAATGGCGAAACAGTTGGTTGAGAAGGTCAACCTACGCAACAAAACAAGTCCACGCCAACAGAGAGTCTCCTGCGAATGAAGGCACTTGTCACTAACGCACCCGTGCGTGAATCACTGCAATTATGGTGGCATTGTTCTTGCGGATAGCTTTGAGATTGACTTTGCCACCCCCTGATGTTGCAGTTGTCATTGGCATCGAAACTGTTGTTCATGTGGCTGGTATTGTGTTGTTGCTGCTGCTACGGCTCCTGCTGTTGTTACCGGTGCTTTTGTTGGTTGTTGTTGTTTGGCTTTGACCCAGGCAAGCCTGTACTTCAGTGGAGACTGGGGAGGTCAAAGCAAGCCTTGGATGGCCGACTGCATGAAGCCCTCCCAATCCGTCACCTTGAAGAACAACTCCGTCTTGCGACCCGGATTCCATTGGGGAGTGAGACCGCCGGGACATGGCAATTGCCTGCACTTCCGGTTGCAGCGAGTTGCTTCCTGAAGCTGTTTTTCCCCAACAGCTGAAAGCTTTGGGGTCTCAGCCCAGATAGGCTCTGGGGTGGTCCGGGGCGGCCCTGAGGGAAGGTTCCACGAGGGTTCCACCAGGGTTCCACCAGGGTTCCACCAGCGTTCCACGAGGTTCGGCGAGGGCTGCGGGGTGGTGCGAGTACTACAAAAAGCACCGCATGCTGTTGGGGATATCACCTGAGCTTATTTATTTTTAACAGATCCCTTCAGAAGTGACCTTGTCACACTCGAACCCACTCGGCATGACTTCAAGTCTAGCAAGCTTGTACGCACCCCAAGATACCCTGGCTCCTGGTGTTGCAATTCGAAAGGCTTCAAGTTCTTTAAAAGCCACTTGGATGTCCATTTAAGCGTTCATAGCATGCAGGCGCCAAATTCTTGTCGTTTCTGCACGTGAACAAATGCGAGGGTCATGATTTGCCAGCTGGGGTGCACTGCGTGTACTGCGCTTGCACTGGCAAGCTGCAAACTCGCAAAGCGCTAAAGGTGTTGAGTTGCGTTTACCGTGAAGGCGCGCAGCCAGGCGTTTAACGAAGGCGTTTTTTCTTCCCCAACAGCTGAAAGCTTTGGGGTCTCAGCCCAGATAGGCTGCGAGGTGGTCCGGGGCGGCCCTGAGGGAAGGTTCCACGAGGGTTCCACCAGGGTCCACCAGGGTTTCACCAGGGTTCCACCAGGGTGCCACCAGGGTTCCACCAAAGTTCCACCAGGGTTTTACCAGGGTTCCAAGGGTTCCACGAGGTTCTACGAGGGCTGCGGGGTGGTGCAAGCACTAAAAAGAGCACTGAATGCTGTTGGGGATATCACCTGATTTTTTTTTCCGGGAGTGGCACTTTTGGCGTAGGCGGCGTAAGCCAAAAGTTGATAAGGACAAGGTAGGTAGGGTTGTTTGGGGCTTCTTTGGTGGAGGCCTAACGGTTGAGGAGAAAAACACGCGTTCAGTGGCTAGGGATTTCTTTGGAGATGGTTGCATTTCTTCGGATATGAGGCAAAGCCAGTTCCTGAAAGTCTGGATGGATGCCTTTCGCGGAGTGGAAGCCCCTGAGGGCCTGGAAGATTTGCTGCGTATTGGTTGCCCGGCAGGTGACAGGATGTGACGAGTGGCCCAGGCAAAGCTCCAGTGTGGTTACGACAATTCGGTGATTTGGCCTGCTCCATGATCAGAGGAGCGGCGCGACGCGTCGCGACACGAACTTCCCCCCAACTACGGGATGCGCGTGACCTCCTGCGTGCCATGTTGGGGGCGGGCACGGCCAAAATTGTTAATTGTGAACCGGGGCTTGCTGACGTGGTGAAGGTTTGTTTTTGAGAGCTATTTGTGTTTGGTGTTGGTTTCTTTGGCTTGCCCAGAGTTCTATGGAGGTGCAAACCAACAGTGGTCCGACGTTGGGGGGGCACATTTCTTTCTTTGGAAACGTTTCAAATTATTACACTCACGCTTCACCACCTTGGTAATTTCGCCTGCGCCGCCCACTGAATCCCTGCAGCGTTGCCCCCGTGCCCCCCGCCCAGTCCAGCTCATTCCAGCTTGTTGGCCTGCCTCTTTTTACCGCTCGAGTTCAAGTTCCTGGCATTTGCGCCGCCGCTCGGACTGTTGTGCGCTGCTTGGACGTCCAGCCCGGTCAGGTCTGGTTCCCCTTGTGCCCAGCCCGGCATCATTCGCTCAAGCCCGCGTTGTTCTGCTTCTTTTGAGCCTCAGGCGGGCATTGCGATAGTTTAACGCCGGAATTTTGATTCGCGTAACATGGTTTGAGACAGCGTGGGTGCCGGTGGGAGAAGGCACACATGGATTTACAAAGCAGCTGGGCGTGATCACTGAGTCTTGTTGCTGCCTTGCTCGCAGGAGTTTTGCCAGACCAGATATGAGCGGCTGAGTGTGCAACGACTGACGGCTACCCTCTGCTGAAAGGGCAATCCCAGAAAGAACGATTTTCGCCCGCCTAAAGTGCTGTGGCAATTTCGAGGACTGCGAAAAGGATAGCTTGTCCATGTTCTCAGTGGTTCGCAGTAGTTTTCACTCAGCTTAGGGGGGTGACTTGTGCTGGAAGCCAAGCTCCAGAAAGGCGAACTCGTGGTTATATGATGGTCCATCTTGTGAGTCCCGGTCGTGCAGCACCGAATGCGCACGGGATTCACAGCTCACCTTTGCAGAACTGCAGTTGGATATGCCGGCCATGTGGGATCCGAAGACCGGCTAGATGGATCGAGCAAAAAGGACTCGCTGGTGGCTTCCTTGGCACCTGATACCGAGTTCTCAACCGGACATGTACAACAACTCGGGTTTCGCCACTCAACATGGATATTTCAGTGATCAAGGGTCACATGAATGTTGAATGCAAGCCATATCTCTGGCTGTGAATTGCAAGGTACAGTTTTGACTTTCAGCAGTTCCCATTGCCGCGGATTTCGGTCAATCTCAGCTTCGCGCGCATCTCACAGCTGTGTACTAGTGTAGCAGGCAGCTCCTCACCGAATGTGAGGCAGGGCGATTGGTGACTGAATATGGGCGTGTCCTTTTCATACCCTTCAAACGGTGTCAATGGCAATCCGAATCGAACCACCCTTGGGGGGTCCCCCTTGTCACACGCTATGGCTACAGCTTTTGCTTCGTTCATGTCTGATTACATTCCATTTGAGCAGTGCCGTAAGCCCCGTGAAAGCCATGGCCGCGAACGCCCCCCGCGAAAGCAACTCCAAAGGAAGCGGAGCCCGCGAAACCGCAAAGCATGCCGCGAAAACAGGGGCGAAAGGGGCTGCGAAAGCAAGCTCGTAGGAGCGTTTTTTTTACACAAGAAAATTTCGGCGTTGCTGATTTGCCAGGTAATTTGAGGGAGAGACAGGAAGAGAGAGAGAGAGAGAGAGAGCTCTGGTCATTTTGCAAACCATTGTCCTCAGTGTGCAACTTTGCAAGTTGCAAATGTGTCCCCTGAACAAAGCCAGGCAGGTTGTCCGAACACTGCCAGTCAACCGCTTCCAGATGGGGCGCAAGCGCTGCTGGCCGAGCTTTAGTTTTCAGCATTGGCGTTTACCATGCTTCTGGGCAGATTGCGCAGGGTGCGAATCACGGAAGCTCTGCAGAAGCACGGCGAAAGCCCCTTGCTACAGCGTAAAAGCATGTTTAGATATCAATGACTATGGGTAACTTTTCCCATTTCGTGGTGAAAGTCAATTTTTTGGTGGTTTCCCTAGTGGTCACCCCATGTTCATGGGACCTTTTGATCAACCCCCATATTACTTCCGTTGCGTTGTTTCGCGTCTCAACAGGCCATGGGGCTAGAAAGCCACACGCAGTGGAGCACAGGGGGAAACCCCGTGCAATTTTCAGGAGCCCGCCACAAGACAGACACACCGGCAAAGAGACGAACAACAAAGCATGGTGCGATAGATTGCGATAGGCAGGGAATGAGGGAATGGGGCCTCTATAATATGCATCAATTGTTTCCTATGAGGGAATCCCCAGGTTCTTTTTTTTAAATATCCTACTAAGCACCAGCAAGCAAAACATGGCAAAGTACAGGGAGAGACAGCGAGGAGCCGACTGGCGCAGAGACAGAGAGAGACAGGTACAAATGAACACGGCGCGCACATGCGGAAACGCGCACACACACAGAAATGCGCAGACTTACCCGCAGACACACAGACACATGCGCACAGACGCAGTACACACACACACACTTGCACACAAGTTGCGCGCGCGCACACACACACACACACACACACACGCAAACGCAAACAGCCACACACAGACACGCGCCGCTGGGATTTGAGAGCAGTTTTTCCCCAGGCCAGCGCCGACGGATCCCAAGTGCTCTTCATCTGGGTTAAGCCTTCGGTTGAGCGAATTAGACGCACTGTCTAGACATGGACCTCATATCATTTTATATGACTTCTTCTTTGTCCTTGCTGTGTTTCAAGAATCTGCGGCCTGAACCGCAGGTGCCGGGTTGGGCTATTTGTTTGTTCAATCTCTTGTTTAAACAACCTCCTTGTGGTTTGCCTGAAAAGGGGGGGGGCCGAACAAACGGGCCCTGCAGGTTCCTCCCGGATGAAGTACCTATTGCTGGCGCTGGACTCCCTCGCTCTGGCGTCCGCAGCGGCAGTGCATCACCCAGACGTTGTGCAGGCAAGAAGCATGTGGAGAAGTCAGGGAAGCTCCGGGAAGCTAATTGCAACATATTACCGCAAATAGCATATCATACGTATATCTATGGATACAACATCCTTGAGATTGTCAAAAGAGGCAGTTAACTTTGATCAAGGGTCAATTGGGTCAAAGTGATCGGGAAGTTGTCCAGATGCTTGATTTTACAGCTTCACATCGACAGTTCCACACACACGCACACGTTCCTGGTTGTGGGATTTTGCACTCCAGGATGGTCTTGGTTGCTGCTGGATTCCAGTACCGCTTGCGGCTTTCGAACGTAAGTGTTTTGTGGCTTGCATGCTGATGGGCAAGCTCCTGAGTTGACTGGAGTTTCGTCATGATACGCCCCATGTTGTTGGGAGGGTTGTTTTATGGGGTTGGTCCAGGGTTTAGCCCAAGGTTTCGCCGTGCTGAAGCCCGTCAGCATAAACTAAGTGCTGAAAATGCCCGAGGGCTTGTGCCAGCTTCTGGCAAGCACTGAAGGATAGCATTCAAAGCAAACAAAGCATCAGCCATAGGATTCAAGAAAGGATCAGGTTGCATGGCCATGCAAGTCCCGCGATCGGAATGTTTAGTTCACAGTAGCTTGGCTCTTTTCGCAGCCTGTTCATCAGCTTGGGGTTAGGCCGTCCACGGCTTGGAAGTGTGGGGAAGAACTATTTGCCGCGTTTGCACGTGCAGCTGCGACATCCACAAGCAAGATCTGTGGTGTGTGTGTGTGTGTGCGTGTGTGTGTACAGGAAGGACAACATATTTGCATTAATAGACCAAGCTTGTGTGATGTCCTCGCGAGCTGCGCTGAAACCTCCACGAAAGCTCGTTTGGTGGGAATGAATACGTTGATCCGCTAGCCCATGCACCCAAACCATGCAGTCATGGGAGGTGTCCGTGTTGGCACAAGGTACGTTTGTTGACCCAAGTCACCCATGGCCACCGGACCTGCACGTGTGTTGCCGCTTTTGGACTCTTTGCAGGTTATTCTTTTCTTTTTTCGTGTGGCGAGGATGATTTTGTTTCTGGTTTGCGCGCAGCCATAGCCTAAGGCACCTTACATTTCTCACAGATGCCTTTGATGAGCCCCGCATTTGCGCCCGCGGCCTTGGCGTATTCGATCACTTTGCCCGTACGCTTTGAATGGCAAGCCTTGAGTGAAGCCTTGCGCCTACGGGTGGAAGAGCACATATGCAGAGTGCACGATTGGTGATTTCACGCATACGCTCAAGAGCACCAGCTCAGCACTGTATCCACGCTTGGCAAAGTACAACCACGTATTCTTGAGCACACCCGCTCAAGACCCGCTCTGCGTTTAGTTGAAGCCTGGCAAAGTATAAGCACACCCGCTCAAGAGCCGAAAGTTGACGATCAATTGTGGAAAGAGCTGAAATCGTTCATTCCAAAGAGTTTACGCGGAAATACATCCGTGCGGGTGGAAAACCGAACCCTGTTTTTGGAACCGAGACTGAGTTTGCATTGGCAGAGCCACGTCACACAAGCAATCTCCAGAGCAAGATCTCAGAGCGAAAAACGCCTTCGATAAGCCTGGCGCCCCACGTTCTGACAGCTCAGCTCCAAGATCGCACCGTCTTCAATGGCATCACCTGTTGAATGCAATCTGCTTCTAGAAAATATCTCAAACAAGCACGTGATATTGCCAAGGAATACACCAACCCCCACCCGAACCCTCCCCCCCTGCTCACCCCTGCCTGCATGTCAAAAGTGATCATAGGATTTATCTCTAACAAGCACGTGATGTTGCCAAGGAAAACACCAACCCGAACCGCCCCCCGGTCCGTGGCGGGGAGGAGAAATAGGTCCGTGGCGTGGACACGATCCCAGTTCTGGTGTTTGATTTCCCCCCCCGCTAGCAAATACATGCCCAAACAACATTGACGAAATAATGACTATAACCACAACGGAACATGCTGGAGCAATGTTGTGTTCTACATAATTTCAGATTTGGGGAGAGAGGCTCTGAACTTGACAGCTATTGGGTTAGATCTTAAGACTTTAACTTTTGGGGGACATCAATAGGTTTTCCATTAAACCCACAAAAAGCTTTAAACTTTTGGAGGGGTCAATAGCAACCCAGCTTTTTTTTCTAGTTGCTCCCCTTTTTGGTGACAATTTCCAGGGAAACCAAATGGCCGGACACCCTCGCCGTTTTTTTGCCCCCCCCCCCCCCCAAAAAAAAAAGAAGTCGAGGAGCCAAGAGGTGAGGATCGCAAGGCGCTCTTCGAGGTGTCGGCCGGCGGCCATGTCAAGCCTCGGAGCCTTGGATGCAATCGACGTTGTGGATGGACGAAATCCGTTGGCCCCGCTAAACCCATGGGAAGTTATTGTTGGTATTTACAGGGGACTCAGCATGCCAGGGTTTCTGAGATAATGCAGGATCCATCCACTGTAGGTGTCCGTTTTTAGGGTTAGTGTTTAGAACAGATGGTCCTTGCAGTTTGCTTCCAGTCTTTTGACTGAGCCATCGATTGTGCCAAAAGGACAGCTTGGGGATTCGCTCAGAGGGAAACCAGAAGGAAGCCAAAGTTAGTCAGTTTTGGTGGTCTCCGATTTATTGTGAGACACATCTAGTTTCTGATGAGAAAGCTGCACACTCGCAGCTTGCAAATGGTCCTTCCCACAGTTTGCGCCTGAAGGTTGGACAAGAGCCCTGCTCCCATTCTTTGCCCCAGGTGTGCCCTTGGGTTTCAAAATGGGATGTGATGGGGCAACCGGGCCCCGTTTGCCAAGGCTAGATGGTTTGCTGACACAGATTACATAGCTGTTTGGTAGCCGGATGATTAGTTGTAGTGTTTTGAATTATACCTTACTTAACCATGTGAGTCGTGCCCAAAACCTACGAAGAGTACTTGTATCAGGCAGAGGAGGAGTGTAATTATCGTTCTCTCACATACACCCTGCCCTGCAAGCCGGTTGGGAAGTTAGTTGATACTGCAGCTCGACTTCCAGTTGAGAGTGCACTTGAGGCCTGACGTGCAGGCAATGCATACACGCGTTTAGTCAATACATAAGCCGTTTAAACGTGTTTACAGGCCCTTCTCTAAGTTAGGTTAAAGTCTTAAACATCATCCGACAGGCAGATCAGTTCAGATGCAAGGCCTTCCTCGGCCATGTTCGCAAGTAAGCGGCTAGCTGAGCAGCTCGTATGCGCATTTCGGAGTACTCTGTTGAAGTGCGTTTAAGTTTGGCACGGTACCTGAGGTTGAACATACAACGGGTGTTTACACGAAGTTTGAAGGGTCCCAAGAGTTACACAGAATCGGGATTTTGTTGAAGTGCAGGTAAGCAAAGATTAAACGGTCCCTCAGGGTGAAGCCTTGCGTCCTGCGTTCCAGGTCCCACTCCCCCCACCGCGGCTCGACCCATGTTAAACTCGCTTTCTCGGTTGCTCCAGGGCAGCGTTTGAACAATCCCCTAGCAACGTTTCAACAACCAAATGCTTTGCTGCTCGTGGTATGCCAAAGTGGACATGTTAACAAACGCCCGGCTCATTGAAACAAACTTGAACCCCACATGGTTTGCACAGTTGAAACGCGAGCTGTCGACTTTCCCGCGCCGAGGTTTTTGTTTCATTGACCTTGACAATCAACCCCATAGCCAACTGAAACCCACATTGAACCACCGCCCGGTATATACAGATGCCCAGGTGCCATCCACCGTCGCATAAAAGCTTTCGGGACACAGAGCTATAGATTGCAAACTATCGCGCAAAGACGACGGTGCCAACGATTGATCCAACCATGATCCTTACTGCTCACCACGAGTTTTGACCGTGGTGCATGTGTGCCATCCCTGTCAAATCATGCCCGTTTGACCCTTAGTACAATAGGTGGTTCCAGGTGTTTCGCAATCCCTCTGAGGCGCGAGAGGAGTGTCATGCGCTCGGAGGCGCACGCGGAGCTTGCAGCTCGAGCCGAAAGAGACGACAGCGACATGGACCATTTCCAGCTGCGGCTGTTGGATGACTCGCAGAGCGCCGCGGCACTCGCGGGCTCGGCTGGATGGCGTCAAACGGGGCCGCGGTTCGAGCCAGGTTTCAGAGCTTGTCCATCAGAACGCGCGATGGTAAGCAAACAATTTTCAGAAGTATCCAGCATCCATGGTGGGTGGACATAGTTACGGGCAGCATGAAGTTGTCACCTTCGGCGAAAATGCACCGAATCAATGCAGATTTAATTGTTTCTTCTGGACCCCCTGGTCCAGCTTGGACCGATCTGTTCTGAAGAGTCGTCCCTGAACTATTCAATATCCCAGCCTCCCTCATGTGCCCTGGCGTTGTGAAAGAGCCGCCTGCAAACTATCCAATCTGCCTTTCTGCTTTGCAGCTAGCCATGCAAGCATGCCGGGTTTCATGGAGCTGCTCGAAATGAATGAAGTACTTTCACTTCAGTGCCCTTGGGTTCCCAGCACATCTCCCATGCCCTGATTCTCAGGGGCTTCCCCCGAGTTCCCTGGCGTCAGCTTTGCAAAGACCAGGCACGGCGTGTCTCCGCCCAGTGTTTGTGATTCTCACGGTATGAAAGCGTGTTTTTATATATATATATATGCAGGCTACATGAAGCTGCATAGCGTGCTAAGAAATACTCCCCAAGATCTCAGCGCAGCCAGCAATGGGGGACTATAAGAGGCCACAACCTTTTCACACCATCATTTCCGTACATGCAAGTTACCGCAGTCTGTGTTGCTTCCTTCCTTCCCATGGCAAACACGTGCGCTGCGTTTCGCGGGTTGTTTCTATCCCAGGAAAAGCCACCACGAAGAGGGCCATCGTCACCCACATCTGCGACAGCAGCTGGGCCCCTGGAGCCCTGGCCCTGGCGGCGTCGCTGAAGAAGGCGGGCAGCCAGATGAACCTGGTGCTCATGACCACCAGCGCCTTGGCAGGGAAACCCCACGAAGAAAACCAGAGCCGGAGGCCGGAGCCCAGGTCAGAGTCCACGCTCGAAATGTTCCGTTTTGGTCGGGCACGACAATGGTCGCCAAAAAGGGAGGGGACTCGTTAGATTCCTATAAAGATGAATGGGAAGATCTCCCAAGTTGGGCCAATCTGAGGTTTGATTGGTTGTGGGGATGTTGGGAAGCAAGGCAAAAAGCATCAACGAGGTATTAAATATCATTGCGGGCAGAGCATGTCATAATTTCCTTGCCCAATAGCTCGATCTTACTTTGAGAGCCCTCAACTCAGGAGAGTAAATTCAACCGTCCCAGTGTGAATGCTTTGGATTGCAGGCGGAAATATGTTTGTCTCGGTGTGCCAGCATTGCACCAATCCTGCTTGGTCCGTCTAGTAACCACTTGGTTCTTCAATCCCAAGATGACCAGCCTAGATCCTGTTGCCCACTGCGTTGTAAGCCATGGTCCATGTTAGCAGCTAGAGCTAGCAGGCACCCGTTGCAAAGCTATCCTGACACATAGTCACACACAGACACACACACAGACACACACACACACACACACACAGACACACACACACACAGACACACACACACAGACACACACACAGACACACACACAGACACACAGACACAGACACACAGACACACAGACACACACACACATACACACACATAGACACGCACACACAGAAAGAGACAGACAGACACAACACAGACACACACACACACACACACACACACACACACACACACACACACACACACACACACACACACACACACACACACACACCACGCACGCACGCACGCACGCACGCACGCACGCACGCACGCACGCACGCACGCACGCACGCACGCACGCACGCACGCGCGCGCGCGCACACGCGCACACACACACACGCACACACACGCAGAGACACAGAAACATAGAGAGACAGAGACACAGAGAGACAGAGAGACAGAGACACAGAGACACAGAGACACAGAGACACAGAGACGCGGAGACACAGAGACACAGAGACACAGAAACACACACACAGAAACAAACACCCACACACACACACATACACACGCGCAGAGTTTGATACAAGCCCCTACGGTGTATCAATTCTACTTGGTGTATCTACGGGTGGATTGTTCCTTCTCAATTCACACATCCTTCCTCTCCACTTGTGGAGAACACATTCCAGTTTCACTGGTTGCAGGCGATATTGATTCTCGCTACCAGCGCCTCCTATCGCACGTCTTCGACAAGGCCCAGCCGACGCTTCGCTTGCCTTGCCATCGGGTGGTGCACTGGCATGCCCCACCCAAGCCTTAGCCACATTCGCATTTGGCCTTCCAGGCCCCCTTGTTGATGTAAACCATTGAAGAAGACGACCTGGCCGGCCATTTGGTTGGTGGCACTGCCTTTGGATGCTGGATCGCCACACAACAGCGCAACACTCCGCTGACCCCCCGTAGCGGAGTTTGTTGAACTCATGAAGATCGGTAAACATCCATGGGCATGTTGAACTCGTTCAGCTAGCTCAACCTTCCATGGTGCATTTCACGATCCAAGAAAACATGGGGTCTTCAGCGCACAAGGAGTTTGGTTTCAACACGTGAAATCAGTGGCGAATATCATCACAGCATGCCAGACTGGCAGCTTGCTTCCAGACTTGCTTCTGCGACTCTCGTCCATAGCTGCGTGATGACTTTGCCATCTGATAACCCTGTTTGCGCCGCATTGCCCTTCACCTTCAGGGGCATTTCAACGCTGCAGATCTCTGGGTTGCAACATCACTAAGGTTTGGAAATTGACATGGGCCATAGGGCACCCAAGACTATTACTGTGGGTACAAAAAGCACAATCATGGGCATTGGTAGGTCAGCCGCAACCCCGACTTACAATCTGGATGGGCAAGCGAGAACATTCGAGACAGTCAGAGTTTTGTTGCTTTGCATTGAGGGAGGAGGTCGCAACGAAAAGGCCGCTTTTCATCTATGGTTCCCTGGGCTGATGGATTTGGGCAAGTGATAGCGGCAGTTCCAATGCCGCGACCTCCTATGAGGGCGTCGGATTCTCAGAGAAGCCCTTGCTTGAGGGCAATGAAGTGTTGGGACCGACCCGCTCAATTGCCTTGGCCCCCTCTCAAGGGAAACCCAGGGATGTCGTCTACAACGGCTTAAACCATGGTTTCAGCCAGGAGCCTTGGCCGAATCATCTTCGCAGGTCTTTGTGGAGGAGCCAGTGCGGCCCCACGAGAGCATTGTGCGGGATGGGGCGGACTGCGTGACGCTGCAGCTGAGAGCTTGGCAGTTGCCCTACGAGAAGCTTCTGTACATGGATGCAGACATGACCCGATTGCCAAAACTGGGGTCATGGGAATCTGAAGAATCTTGAGCGAAATGGGGCTGCTTGATCTTCAGGTTCTTGGGGATGGGAGCCTTGAGGATGGGGATCTCGAGGGTGCGAGGTGGTGGTGAACGTGTAGGTGGAACTGAGGATGAATGAGGTGGGTGGAGCGATGCTGTGGATTCACTGAGGATTTTCTGGCAAGTCAACAGTTGAACTGGAGCCCGGTCGTTTGAAACTGGTTGCCGGTTTTTCCTGGCAGTCATTTTTCCCCCACGCGATCCGCCAGGATTGCCTTGAAGAATCATGATGCCCTACTGGACCAGTTTGACGAGCTGGCTGCCCGCAGAGATGCCGGCATCCACTCGCAGTTCAACGGAGGCATGTTTGTCCTGGAGCCTCGGACTGTTGAGCATGAATCTTTGAACCACAATCTTGAGGCTGAGGATCACAACAAGCAATTCGGCATACCAGATATGAGGGATGATTGGAGGGTTCTTCCATGGAGTGGGCGTTGAGGAAAGGCACTTCCCTCCCACAGTGGGCGTTAATTTGTGGAATGTGAATAATAATATGTATATTACTATGTATATAATATACACACATGTGCGTTTACATATGTATAATACATATATATATATATGTACACATGTATATACATATATTATACCTGGACCCTGCCACGATGTTTTTTCAGTCTCCCCTGAAAGTTTGACGCAGCACGTGGCGGCCATTTAAACATGACACGAACGCGGCGAAAACAACGCGAAAGCAACGCAAAGCGATGCCAAAGTTGTGTCATTGAGTTGCGTCTTGGGTCTTCGCCTAAAAAACGCGAACGCCAGGGTTCCAGGAATACTTTAAAAATATAAAGGTTCGATACATAGACGTGTACACGCACACTTGTGTGTGTGTGTGTCTCAGTGTCGCTGTGTCGCTGTTTCTCAGTGTCTCTGTGTCTGTGTCTGTTTGCGTTGTTGTTTGCGTGTTGGTTTGTTTTGGTTGTTTTGATGTTCTTCGGCTTTGTTTCGTTTCATTTGTTTCGATATCTCTCGTTTTGATTTGTGTTGGCTTGTTTGGGTTTGTTTTGCCTGTTCGTCGTTTGTTTGTTTGCTTTGGTTTGTGCTCGTTTTTTTTTTTTTTTTGTGTGTGTATTGAGATGTGTTTTTCTTTCTTTTTTCCCCGAAAGCATTGCGAAGGATTCTTCCGGTAAAGTCGTTGCGTTCTGCACAGCTCAACTGCATAGGGAAAGTAGGCAGTGAAATGCATAGAGGCATGCATAGGGAAAGTGCACAGTGAAATGCGTAGGGCAAGTACCGGGTTGGCAGATTTTATATGTTTCTTTCTTAGGCTTGGGAGAACATTGAAGCTCACTTTTGTTGCGCGACAACATGTTTGTTTTTGCCGGCTTATAGCGGTTTTCCCGGCAATTGCGCAACGCAGTTTCTGGTTCGTGTAGTTGGTACAAGCAGCAACGATACTTACAGGCTCGATCTTTTTTTGTTTTGGGCTGGAGTGGTTGGTCGGACTTGTGTTGCAGAACAATTTCCAAGAACTTCGCCAAATATCCAAACGGCTTCGAGCGTGGCCGGTCAAACGGATGGCCAATTCTGTGCTAAGGAGCCCTCCCAGGACAAGTTCCAGCAGCTCCGGAACCGCCTGAAAGACTTCAGGCTCCCAGCCAAGGGGAAGCCCGGCACTTCGAGCCGTTTTGGGGGCGCCCCCTTTGGTGTTGCCGTCGCTCCTTTTTTACGGCGCATTTGAATCTGAAGACCATCAAGACGTCAGTAGGTTGCGGCGCGACCCACAAGGTGTCTTTCAAAGTGGTTTCTTATTTTTGGTTGGTGAGTGAAACAAAACAGGCCCAGAAGAACTCGGGTTGCTCCTTTTTGCTTTGGCGTGATGAGCTATCCCCCAATGGCCCACAAATCGGCGCCTCTTGGTTTTGCTGAGGAATGGCGGCATCCAGGCGCTGACGACATGGGACACTGGTGGTCAACCTCCCTAGCCAGTGTTGCATTTGAAGGGTTTCGCAAAGGACTATATAAGCTCATTTGAAGGAGGCCAAAGAGATCGTCTACATTTTGATAAGAGCTCCTCCATTGGGGCACATTGTCGCACCCCACGTGCGTTCTCCAACTCCAAATGCGTCCAAGTGCCTGCCTGCGGCGCTCTGCACTGCAAAGAAGGAAGAAGACGTTTTGGAAGGTGACCGGGGTAGCTTCGTGAAGGAAAACGTGCGTTGCTTGCAAACTTAAACGTAGCACCAAACCATAATTGGCAGACACGTGTTGGACAAATATCCATTGCCGCCTATACTGCTGAGCTCAGCTGAGCTCCACTGAGTGGCTTTTGCTGGGGGAGAACCGACCGCTTCCTGCCTACCATCTAAGGAGCAGGTGCACAAGCTGCTTGCGGGGAGGGTATACGCCAAAGACTTGCTTCGCTTTGTTTTGGAATACGACGATAGGGGAGTGCACCGCGTGAGCATTTTTCTTTTTTTGGCAACCAGTCTGTTTGTTGCGGAAACAAGATTGGCGCTGTTATTTCAATCAAGACTTGTGCAATCGTTTGCAAGGACAAGGCCAATTGAGTTCTTCTCTGAATTGCTTTGCCCTTGTTATTTCAACGCGTTCTCGCAAGGGCAGAGCATGGTCCATGGCACGGGCGACGTGGCCAGGAAGGCCTACAACTTTGACCCCCAAGGAGCCCCGACAGCCCTATGGTTTAATTGGCTCCTCTCGATTGAGGGTGGGGGGGCGCGGGGTGACAGCAGGTCCCTGTGGCATGAGGCGGTGTACATTTGTGTACTCTTTGCATGCGATGATCTGGGGGTCTGCAGGGCAAAGCGCAGGAGCGTAACGCCGAGGAGTGCAAAGCCCTTGCAACACTTTTCTGGATGCTCCGATGTCGATTGAGTCTGAAGTGTATTGTTGGCATGATGAGAGAAAGGAGAATGACACTTCATGTCTGTTTGGAAGCAGGGTCCCTCTGCGATTCACCCAGAGTTCTCAGAGCGTTTGAATTTTGATCCTGACCCGCCCCCTTCTTCCGGCATACCAGTTTTTGTTTTTTTAATCCACCTGGAATAGTTTTTATTTTCATCCCTGCTTGTTTTTGTTTGATCCGGTCCCCCCTTCTTCCGTTTAGGTTTCCCATTAACGTCGCCCAACAGGTACCTTCCCCAGGCCTCTCTCCGGCCCAATGCACGTGAGGCTTTCCTGAACAGCGCCTTCCCCGAATGCCCGGAAGCCAGTCCCGGAGTTGGGTGCTGGATGGGCCAGCTGGGAGATGAGTACAACAAGTTTACGCGTGAGTTGAGCGAAGACCAGCTGGCATCTGGCACATACGTCACTAGGCTGAAGTGCCCTTGGCATCCGCCAGAGAACATAATATGGCTGTGGGTCAAAACCAATGGTACCATTTTGGGGTAGGTGCACCACCCATTTTAGTCTATTTTAGTGGGGATTGGCACGTTCACTGAGGGTACGGGCTTTTGACCCATGGCCATATTCGCTTTGATTTCAACGCGGAAGACAGGCTACAGGAGGTAGCACGCAGTACCCAGGGAGCACAATGTGTTGTTCAACGGAAAGATGATGATATATATATATATATATAATAATATATATATATATATATATTGGGTGCAGAGCAACTTTTGCAGTGTTCGGCCACTGTTATCACTGCGTTGGAGCCCTTCGAAAAAGGGAGCGCGTGGATGTGCACAGACCTGTGTGTTTGTTGTTTTTGTCAACTCTGCAAGCACACAGCAGCAACGACAACTAAAGCAACAGCAGCGGCAACATCCACCAACACCAACGACGACAACAACAGCAATAACAATGACGACAGCGACAACAGCGACAGCAGTGACAACCACCACAACGAGAGCAGCAGCAGCAGCAGCAGCAGCAGCAGACAGCAGACAGCAAACAGCAAACAGCAAACAGCAACAGCAACAACAAAAACAAAGCGACAAAGCAACAACAACAATATAATATGTTCATCATCATCATCATCATCAACAACATCAACATCAAACATCAACATCATAAGCATCATCAACATCAACAACATCAACATCGGCAGCAATAACAGCAGCAACAACAACCACAACAACCACAACAACCACAACAACCACAATAACCGCAACAACCGCAACAACCGCAACAACCACAACAACCACAGCAACCACAACAGCAGCAGCAGCAGCAGAAGCAGAAGCAGAAGCAAAAGCAAAAGCAACAAACGCAACAAAAGCGACAAACACAACAAAAGCGACAAACACAACAAAAGCAACAGCACCGCAACAGGCACAGCAGCAAACGTAGCCCAACAGCAACAGCAGCTGCAACAACAACAACAGCAGCAGGAACAACAACAGCACCAGCAAGACGTGCCCGCACGTTTTGTCTTTCCAACCAACGCTAGTGTGTGTTTTTTTCCGGGCAGTTTTGGCCCAGGCAAGCCTTCACTTCAGTGGAGACTGGGGAGGTCAAAGGAAGCCTTGGATGGCCGACTGCATGGTGTCCTCCGACTCCGTCACCAGGAGGAAGGACACAGGATTGCGGCCTGGATCCGATTGGGAAGTCAGACCGTTTGGACACGGCACATGGCAGGTGTGTGCGAATCCGGTTGTAGCGACTTGCTTTCCAAAGCTGTCTTTCAACACATCCCGTCAGAAGTGACCTAATCACACACGGCATGACTTCAGGTGTGATTAGCAGGCTTGTACAGACTTCATGATACACTGGCTCCTGGTGTTGCAATTCGAAGAACAAAACAACACAAGGTTTTTAACAGCCACTTGGATGTCCAGCGACAGCAGCGTGCTGCCGTTTCAACACATTTAACCCTTCATACAATGGAAGAGCCATTTTTCTGTCATTGCTGCGATGGGCAACATGAGACGAACCTTTGCAACGCTTCCCTTGGGGTTGGCGTTACAACCGTCAAGAGAGTGATTGGTAGGGACCGACCAACCAATGGCCACAGGCCCTTCATCGCCTGAGTAGCTGTGCCTGCTTGCCTCGAGTTTGTACTTCAAGTGTACCGCCATTGGGTGAGGGCATGGCTTCGAAATGCGTTTGTGGAGCTGATTCTTGCACTGGGGTTTTCGTGTTTTTTGTGGGAGACTCAGCGATCTCAGCGGTTGAGGAGAAGAATCTCCTGCCTCGGGGGGAATTAGGAGGACGACGGTTCGCGCAACGCCGCGATCTCAGGCAAAGCAAAATCCTACAAGTTTGGCTGGACGCCTTTCGTGGAGTGGAAGCCCCTGAGGGCCTGGAAGATTTGCTGCATATTGATTGCCCGGCGGGTGACGAGATGTGACGGACCGAGGAAAAGCTTTAGCTTGGACATTTTACAACAGTTCGGTCATGTGGCCCATGAAAAAGCGAGAGCGTTAAGTTGCTGTACCTTATGGTCTAAAGCTGTCCAAGCCTGTTCTGTTTTTGGTGATCTTTGCAGTAACAACATGCTTCGTCGGAATTACAGCTGTTGCGGGGGGCAAGTCAGAAACTGGGGTGCTTCGTGCCACTTTTGATACTGGCAAAATCACTGGGCCAGAATTAGTTACATTGACCTTCGTAAGACAAACATGGAGCACAGAGATGGATGATTTTGCCAGTAAAAGCGCCTTGTGTGGCGGGTGCCATGCTAGATTTGCAGGAGTGCGGCAACAAGGATGTCCTATTGACAGTGATGATTTAGATGATGGCCGTTTTGGGGCATTGTCCAGCTTGTTTTCCTGAGCCTCCCCCAAACCCATAGGAAATGGAGTGGCCTCTCCCGGGTGTCATGCCTTGTTGTTGGGCGCAGGGAGGGATGCTGAGCCTTCAAACTTTAGAGCCTCCGGCTCAGTTCGCCGACATTGTCCTCTCCCTTTTCTCCTTCTTCCTCTCTCCCTTGTCCTCGTCCTCTCTCCCTCCCTCTGCTCCCCATCCCCCCAAGCCTCTCTCTCTTCAATCCCCCTCTCCCTCTCCCTGTCTCTCTCTCTCTCTCTCTGTTTCTCTGTCTCTTTCTGTCTCCCTGTCTCCTTCCTGTCCACGCCCCTCTACAGAAACAGGGCACCCGAATTCGAACCTCTCTACTCTCTCACTTTCTCGTTCTTTCTCTCTGTCTCTCTCTGTCTCTCTCTCTCTCTCTCTTTGTCTTTCTGTGTCTTTCTGTGTCTCTCTGTCTCAGTCTGTCTCTCTCTCTCTCTCTCTCTGTCTTTCTGTGTCTCTCTGTAGTCTCTCTCTCTCTCTCTCTGTCTTTCCGTGTCTCTCTTTCTCAGTCTCTCTCTCTTTCTCTCTCTCTCTCTGTCTCTCTCTCTCTCTGTCTGTCTCTTTCTCTGTTTCTCTGATTCTGGCTCTGTCTCTGGCTCTGTCTCTGTCTCTCTCTCTCTCTCTCTTTCTCACTCTCTGTGTCTCTCTCTCCCGCTCTCTCCCTGTCTCTCTCTCTCTCTCTCTCTGCATTGCAGCGTCACGTCCCCCCTGAGTTGCCTTGATGTCCGGGCACTGCCCCTTCATGACCCTGAACTGGCATCTCACTACTGGCTTTCCCTTTGATTTCCCCTTCATGTCCTTTTCACGTTTCCCATGATGTCCTGGTCATGCCCCTTCCATGCCTTTCAACTGCCCCTTCATGTCCCTGACATTTTCTCGGTATGTCCGCTTCATTGTCCATGTATGTCCCGTTCTTTCGTTGCGAGTCATTTCCCTACATCTCCCGTCGTGCCGATTGGTTTCCTTGCGCTTTGTTTCCCTTTCATTCCCCCTGCACTCCCCTTGTTTTCATTTCTGTCCCTTGCATGTCCGTTTCAGTTCCCCTTTGTTTCCCTTTCATTTCCCGCTGCTTTCCTGTCATGTCGACTTCCTATTTCCTCCCCTCATTTCCTCGCACTTCCTTGCGTTTCCCCTTTTCTCCCCAATATTTCCCGCAAAAACACACGGTTTTCCCAGCGTTTTCGCAATTAGGACGTCCAAAAACACATATTTTTTCGGCAAAAGGAGGCAGGAACCCCAAACCAGCAAAGAGCCGGCAGGGGGAATCGAGCCTGGGACCCCTGTTTTGCGACACTGGCTCCCCGAAGACTACGTTTAGTGGAACGTCATCAAATTGCCGCGCGGTACGTGGGGGGCCGACACGCCGAACAATGTCGGCGGACTTGGCTGGGCTGCGCGGCTGGCAGTTTGCATTTTCTTGGAGAGCGTCTGGCAAGTCGTCCGTAGACAAAGATTTCAGCTCAGATTGAACCTTTCTGCCTTGTGGCATCCCACAATTTTGTCAAGATGCTAGGCTTTGCTGAAGGCAAGTTCCCATTGCCCGTTTCAGGTGCTTGTTTGTTTGTTTGTTTGTTTGTTTGTTTGTTTGTTTGTTTGTTTGTTTCGTTGTTATTTTTGTTTTTTTGTTGGGGGGGGGCGTGCAACCAATTGCAATTGCAAACAAATAGAATCCGAGCGGCCCATGGACGTCGTGTCGCCCGGCTCGTCGGCCGCGTCGCTCGTCCTCGCGCTCGATGCGGGCAAAACCGAAGAGCCTGGCGCTTACCAAGTTCCAGCAGGCGGGACTGGCCACCATCGAGCAGAACCGCTCCAAGAAGGAGGGCAAGAAGGAGCATTTCCGGAAATGCGGCAGATGGGTTGGTTCCACTTTTTGGATTTCTGTTTTTGATTACCCCAAGCGTTTCTCTTGGGAAATCAGCCACTGGGCTTAAGTCTACCTTGGGATCTTGGGGTAGTCAAAAATGGAACCCCGCGCCAGATGGGTTTCTGTTTTTGTTTCGGGAACCCTTTTGAAATTGCTTTGAAGGAAAAATGTATATAAGCCGTTCATTTTGGAGGTCCCCCGCCATTTTGGCACCCCAGATGGCTGTGATTTTTTGATAGGAACCACCCCGAAAGAGGCTTAGCATGAATCCGACCACAAGCATTCCGCGTCCTGTCGCCGGTTTGAATGCGCATTAAGGTTTCCTTGCGGGTGATGTTTAGCAATATACGGATCCCTGATCATGGCAACCTGGCGGCGGATCTAGACAAACACAAGTACGAGCTGGGGGTAGCACGAGCGATTTACCCATAACTCATAACATGAAGGTCCAGTTGGCTGGGGGAATTCCTTAATCATTTCCAGTTGGGAGAAGCAATTTGTGTTGTTGCTGGTTGCGACACGACTCAAGTTCTTGGAGCCAGAAGGGTAGGTCCGACGCTTAGAAAGCTCGGTGCTCCGGTTCGCGTGATATCTGGAATTGCTGCAACGTTCCCCCATGGTTCCACCATGACTTTCTGACTCGCTTCCTGGCGGATTCCTGTTGGCTCAATGTTGGCTTCACTGCAACAAGCAACCAACCCCTCAGCTCTCGGTGAAGGGGGAAGAAGGATCTCTGGGAAAGCCTTCTTGGCTACGCGCTTCAAAGGAACTACAGATTTGCCCGAGTGTTTCGATTGTTTCCACGCATTGCCGTTCATTTGCCCGACACGTATGACCCTAGCGAACCGTTCTCCTTCTCTGGGTCTTGCTCCACCCTGAAGATGTTGTTCTGCGGAACGATCTGAGTGTGAGGAGGATGCCCGCTCAGGCAGGCGGCAGGCGCACATGCTCAAACGCTCGCACGCGCGCGCACACACATTTCAAAACTCAATAACGCGCAAAAGCGCACACACACGCGCACACACACTAACACGCAAACACAACAATCAAACACGAATCAACAACACAAACACAAACAAACGCACAACAGAGCAAAGCAAGCACGCACACACACAAACGAACCAAAGAACATGACTCGGAACGGTACAGATCAGCACAACACCACGTAGTGCAGCACAACACAACGCGCACACACACACAGACAACCGCCCAGACACACACAAACACACACACACACAGACACACAGACACACACAAACACAAACACACAACCACACAAACACACACAAACACACAAACAAACACACACACACAAACACACAAACACACAAACACACAAACACACAAACACACAAACACACAAACACGCACACGCACACACACACCCACACACAGAGACACACACACGTGTATGCGCACGCCCACACGCCCACACGCACACACACACACACACCCACCCCCACCCACCCACCCACCCACCCACGCACGCACGCACGCACGCACGCACGCACGCACGCGCACACGCGCACGCACGCACGCACGCACGCACGCACACACGCACACACGCACACACGCACACACTCACACGCACACGCACACGCACACGCACACACAAACCCTCACCACACACCACGCACCACACACCACAAACCACACACCACACACCACACACCCACACACACACGCCCGCACACACACCCACACACACCCACACACACACACCCACACACACCCACACACACCCACACACCCCCACACACACACACCACACACCACACACCACACACCACACACCACACACCACACACCACACACACACCCACACACACACCCACACACACACACCCACACACACCCACACACACACCCACACACACCCACACACACCCACACACCCCCACACACACACCACACACCACACACCGCACACCACACACCACACACCACACACCACACACCACACGCCACACGCCACACGCCACACGCCACACGCCACGCGCCACGCGCCACACACCACACCACACACACACCACACACGCCGCACGCCACACGCCACACACCACACACCACACACCCCACATCGCACACCGCACACCACACACCACACACCGCGCGCACGCACGCACGCACGCCCACGCATGCGCGAACGCATCGCACAGACAGACGGACAGACAGAGACAGAGACAGAGACAGAGACAGAGACAGAGACAGAGACAGAGACAGAGACAGAGACAGAGACAGAGACAGAGACAGAGAGAGACAGACAGAGACAGAGAGACAGAGACAGACAGAGACAGACAGAGACAGACAGAAACAGACAGAAACAGACAGAAACAGACGGAAACAGACAGAAACAGACGTAAACAGACAGAAACAGACAGAAACAAACAGAAACAGACAGAAACAGACAGAAACATAATCAGACAGAAACAGACAGAAACAGACAGACAGACCGATACAACCTTGCTTGTGAAGCATTAATCTAAGACTTGGCACCGTTGTGCTCTCTTTCGCATTAGTGATTGAGATAATCATGTTGGATTCGGACTATTAATCAATTCAGTATAAAATTCAATGAACAGATGCCTTTGATAGTCTCTGGACTTGAAGAAGTGATCATTGCTACAGCAACGGCGCAACAACAAGAATGTACAAACAACAGATACATCGATCTCATGATCGATAGTGGAGCAGCTACACATGTCTGCCCACCATGGTTCGCAACAGAGTCACAATTACAAGCATTGACACAGGAAAATGGACCACAGTCTTTACATGCAGGCTCTCAGGGAACGAGGGAATGACCCTTCAAGTCATCTCTCGTGCTTTGATCGAAAGTGGCTGATTCCAAACAACTTGAAATGCCCTATTAGAAGCAGCCTGGGCCAGTGTTTGCAAACCAATCCCTACAAGCTGGTTCATTCTTAGCTTTAACACAAAACAGAGCCAGCCGCCAGGTATTTCGCACCCCCGGCATTCCTCGCGTTTTGTTTCCCAGGTTGGCTCGCTCGCTCGTTTTCTTTTCTTTTTCTTTTTTTTTGTGCGCGAGGCTACAGACAGACAGAGACAGAGACAGACAGAGACAGACAGAGACAGACAGAGACAGACAGAGACAGACAGAGACAGACAGAGACAGACAGAGACAGACAGAGACAGACAGAGACAGACAGAGACAGACAGAGACAGACAGAGACAGACAGACAGACAGAGACATACAGACAGAGACAGACAGACAGAGACAGACAGACAAGACAGACAGACAGACAGACAGACGGACAGACAGACAGAGAGAGAGAGAGACAGACAGAGACACAGAGACAGAGAGAGACAAACAGACAGAGACAGAGACAGACAGAGACAGACAGAGACAGACAGAGACAGACAGAGACAGACAGAGACAGACAGAGACAGACAGGGACAGACAGAGACAGATAGAGACAGACAGACAGACAGACAGACGCAGACAGACAGACAGATAGACAGGCGGACAGACAGACAGACAGCGCGCGCGCACTTGCGGACACGCGCGTGTTTGGTTCAGCCGCCATTTCTCTAGATGATTCGGGCCTTCCCAAACGGTCACTTTTGCTTATGCAATCCTTTCCTTCCAGGACAAGGGCATCGATATCATCCAGCACCTGGGCTGATGGCAGGTCAAACGCGTTTGGGCTCGGCAGCCACACTTGTTGCCGGGTCAACGGACATGGTTAGATTGAGCCCGTTGAAATATTTGAATTAGACGACCCGCGGGGAATCATGCGAATGACCCGAACCTGACTGTACTGTTCCTTGTGCCAGGTGCCTGTGGGTGATACCCCTCGGCAATTGCGTGGCTACGCTTCAACATGGGGACCCCCTGTTGTTGGATTGAAAGAAGTCCATTGGGCAACCATGCTTTCGCACTTGCGTTGGACCAGGCCCTGACATGTTTCCTGGGGCGATCTCTGCGTGCCATCAGCTAGGAATGACCCTTGGTGCCGCAGCTCTGGTAGTGGCTTGTGCATCGCTCGCCATACCCAGCCGGGATTTCACGTACTGCCACGCTTTTGGGCGGTTGACAGAAGATGCAGCGTTTTTGGCAACCCCCCAGTGTGACGCAGGGTGGGTTTCCAGCGGATCCAGCGGGTTGTATGGTCTTGTTCTGCTGAGAAATCGCTGGCACCCCCTCTGAAGCCGCCTTTGAATGAATGCACGGTGTCTTTCCAGCAGGAGGAGCCACCAGATGAGCAAGATCCAGGGTTCACCACCACCACCACTACCATCATCATCATCATCATCATCATCAACATCATCACCATTCATCACCATCACCATCACCAGAAAGCATCGCCACCATCAACATCGCCGCCATCACCATCGCCATCGCCATCATCCTCATCCTCATCCACATCCTCACCAGTAGCAGGATCATTATCGTCATCGTCGTCATCGTTATCGTAATCGCCGTCGTCATTGTCATCATCAGCAACACAGTTCAACAGGAGATAGCATTGGGCCCCGCTTGGTTTCCGCGAGTATTGGCGGCAAGTCAACAGGACAGTTGTAAAACAAACGCGTGTGCATCGAGGCTAAGACCACCGTACCTTTGGGTCTGTTTGCAAAACAGCTGGCAGAACAAACCATTTGCAGGAGCCTTCAGGTTTGACACAGTGTCACAGTATGGGCCTTCTTAATGAATAGCGATGTGATTGAAGCGACGACCGTCATTGTCCAAAAAGAGCCACGCCATGCCTGTGCCAATGGGACGAATTTGCGGCTGAAACTCGAGCGATTGCAATGCAACCAGGGTTGCTTACAGTGCTTTTAGCTTGCCGCTTTCTGTGCCATGGGGGAGATGTGGCATCATGCATCAAGGAAATCAACGGAAAGGGTTTGCCGTATCGCAAGCAATCAGGGCGTTCAGTGGCACCTAGATCCCTTTCTGCTTTGCTGGCTTCTGGACCCACCAACATTCAGTCGACCAACCAAAAAGGTTCCACATATTTGTTCTTCCGTTTGGTTCATGGGGTCTCTTCAGAAAATATGTTACTTTTTAAGGTGGACACACACAAAATCGGAATCATAAACTCGGGTTTTGGTGTTCCCCAGGGTTGGGGCAAGACTGGTTGCGATTCGTTGTGGTTGAAATCGTCAGCATCGGTCGCCGGATTCCCTACTACAATGGTCAACTCCCCAAAAAGGCTCCAATTCTTGAACTCTACCATGTCTACTGTTGTGACTTGCAGCTGGCAGTTCAATTGGACATGCCCAAAAAGGGTTCCACTCCGCCTTTTTCTGCCGTTGCCTTTGGGTCATTGACTTCCACTGCCACCGTGTTTTTTCTGCCACCTTTTGTGTCCTTGACGGGGTGGGATCCTTGACACCAATCTGCATCCACCTGTGCCTCGGAGTCGGAGACTCATCGGAGACTCATCGGAGACTCAGGGTGGGATCCTTGACCTCGGCGGCCTTCTTGCTGCTGTGGGTCATCGCCGCAACCGTGGTGGCCGCCGTCTTCACGGTGCGCTACGTGGGCATCGTGGAGGATCGAGTCTGCCCTGAAAGCTCCAGCTACCCCGGAACTTGAGGCCCGAAATTGGAAGATGGCCCCTGAACCCCAGAACTTGCGGCATCCCCAAATGTTTAGAGAGATGTGTCTCGCCATTTCCTGAGCTGTGTCTTGCTGGCGGGTTGCTTTTAAGATAATCAAGGTACCCAACCCTCCCACCAATGCAGCATGTGAACTGCAACGGGCACACGGACAAGCACGCAGTCGATACGGACAAACGCAGGGATGTGATGTTGAGCTTGTTCGATTCAGATCATTTACGAAGCGGGTTGGAACACAATTCCTTTTGGATGCCTGCCTCGTGCACAATTGCCAATAAGGTCGGGTAGTCACGTGTCATTGTTTGAGGCATTGTTTGATGAGTGCTTTGTATTCCAAACTCCGAGCCCTTCTTGGATCGGTCGGAAAGACAAAGCAAAGGAACATTGGCGCCTCGATTTCTGGGTTGGCCCAAAGCGACGGGACCCTACAGCCAAAACCCAGGTGCCATTCAGACCTATGTTGCAGAAGCAAAGGCAGTCAAGGAACGGCGAATGAAGGATTCCGGAATAGGAGGGCCCTTGCGTTGTTTGAATCGAACATCCAACATGAAGCAGACAAATAACACGAGGAGGTCTAGCAACAGTGAAAGTAGTCGCAGATGGCGCCAAAGTGCAGGCTTACAAACGAATCCATCTTGAAAGCCAACAATCAAATCAATCATGTTCGATTGCAAAGAATCTGAACACCATCTTGTTGCCATTTTGAAGCCATCTTGAAACCATCCGAGCTGCCACTTAAAGGATTCGTGAAAGGGATGTGTATTGGAGCGGAATAGTTCAAACAACCCACACACAAAGGAGAGTCTTTTAAAACGATGACCAAGAGCGCTCAAAAACGAAGGCAAGTGTATAAAACCGAAGGATTCCGAGATTGTGCAGTTTGGCGCAAGTAAGTCTTTTGGCAGCAACGTCTTGACTGATTCCCCGCTCCCTCCCCAAAAAAGAAAGCTCCCCCCCCCCAGCTCCGCCACCTTCCTGACACCAAATGGAGCCACCTTTTTCATGACTCACCATGACACCAAATGACCCCGAATGACCCCGAATGACACCTTCCTGACACCAAATGAAACCACCTTTTTCATGCCGCCATGACACACCAAATGACGCACCATGACCCCGAATGACCCCGAATGACAGCTTCCTGGCACCAAATGAAACCACCTTTTTCATGCCGCCATGACACACCAAATGACGCACCATGACCCCGAATGACCCCGAATGACAGCTTCCTGGCACCAAATGAAACCACCTTTTTCATGCCGCCATGACACACCAAATGACGCACCATGACCCCGAATAACCCCGAATGACAGCTTCCTGGCACCAAATGAAACCACCTTTTTCATGCCGCCATGACACACCAAATGACGCACCATGACCCCGAATGACCCCGAATGACAGCTTCCTGGCACCAAATGAAACCACCTTTTTCATGCCGCCATGACACACCAAATGACGCACCATGACCCCGAATAACCCCGAATGACAGCTTCCTGGCACCAAATGAAACCACCTTTTTCATGCCGCCATGACACACCAAATGACGCACCATGACCCCGAATGACCCCGAATGACAGCTTCCTGGCACCAAATGAAACCACCTTTTTCATGCCGCCATGACACACCAAATGACGCACCATGGCCCCGAATGACCCCGAATGACAGCTTCCTGGCACCAAATGAAACCACCTTTTCGGGACTCCTTCGCCCAGGAGGACCAGGCCTGGTACCTGCAAGGCTCCGCTCGTGCCGCTGCCGCGGAGGCCCAGGCGGTGCTGGGTGCCGTTCTGGAGGCCGGGGGTGAGCAAGGGGGGGTTCTTGTTTCGTGCTGGTGTTCCTTTTGGATTCCCTTTGAAACCACTTTACAAAGGGGGGCCCTCAAAAAAGACACCCAACGAAAACAACACTAACAATGCCAGAAGCAAGAACAGCAGTAGCAGCAGCAACAAGAACAACAGCATCAGTAGAAACAACAACAGCAACAACATCAACAACAACAGCAACAACAGCAGCAACAACAACAGCAACAACAACAGCGGCAGCGGCAACGGCAACAGCAGCAGCAAGCTGCAAGCAGCAACAGCAACTCAGCTACAATGTTAGCCGCGACCATCCACCATTCCGACCATGAGTTGCGTGCTGTCAATACTAGTGCTAGCAATGGACTGCTGCTGCTGCTCCTACCACTGCATCTGTTTTTGTCTTTTGCTTCTCTCCTGCTACTACGTTTGCCTTTGTTTCTACTTTGCCATTGCCACTCCTTGAGCACTGTTCCCGCTGTCACTACTGCTACTACTTCTGCTCCCAGAACCACCTTACCGTTAACATATCAGCACGAACATCACCACCGTTTCTACCCGTCAGCAAGCCCGCAGAACGTGCAATACGCTTGTGTCTGTTTGCTTTGTTTGTTCAGAGCTGAGTACTGATTTGACGGCTGCGCGGGTTTGCTTTGCAAGCCACAATTGAATTGTAAGCCGCCATGGGAGCGCCTGACGCAGCTCCTTTGACTTGCGCCCTGCAAGGGCCAGCTCAGTTGTATGTTTCCTTTGGTTGTTTGCGCAGGATATCCTGCGCATACCTTTCCCTTCGAGGCAGTACCATTTGCGATGCCCGCGGCTCATTGCTAGGATCTTACAGGACCACAAGCTGCACATGAGCGCTCACATGTTTTCTTTTTGGGATCATGAAGGAATCGCCTCCATTTTGTTGCCATGTCGCACAGGCGAAGCAGGCGCTGATCGCTTCCATCGAGTACGGCCTGGTAAGGACTGATGTTGGCCACCGCCAGTGAACTCACAGGGTTGGCCAGGATACGCCCTTTCGCTGTTTGTTTCACAACATCCAAATCTCCAGGACAGCCCTCAAACAATGGCTGCTAGCTTCAATGATTCAAAGTGTGGCTGAGCGTTTGGTCGACTGCGATCCATTGTGAAGGTGTTTGTTTGCAGGGGCACCACCACAATTCGCTGTATGCAACTGTTTAGAAGACCAAAATTCAGTGAGAGGAGCGGCTTTGACTACGCTGCCATAGAGAGCACCCTGGTGCCCACCATGTTGCTGTGCCTTGGCCAACATCTTGCCACTGGTGGTGTGTTTATTTCGGGCGTCATCCCTTTGTCCTGGCAAGGGGTCTGACGCAGTGTCGCCGGCCATGCATCTCCTGTTTGTTTCATCCCGTTTCCGCAGCACCGTGAAGGAGAGGTTCGAACTCGCTGAATCTGCTGTTGATTAGCATGCGTTCAACCTGCACAAATGTCCGGCTTGTTCTTCAGAGTTTCGGTTGTCCCAGCATGTCTCGCGTAAATTTTTGATGCAACCGTGTATTAGCGGGTCACGGGTCAAGATGGTCTTTTCTCGACTGTGTGGCCATTTGCTCACCATTGTTGATCTACTACCACTAGAGCCAGGAAGGAGGGCCGCTTTTTGTTCGACGACACATAGTATCTAGGTCCCCCAGTAGGCCCTTTTATCCTTTTTCGGGGGAGGGTTCCCCTACTAAAATAGACTACAGAAAAAGGGTACCCGTATTCTGACCTCGCTACTGGAGGACCTAGGTATAATTTCAGTTTGACAAACACTTCGCTGAAAGATGTAGACGAGAATAGTCCATCACATGTGTTGGACGTAACCACACCACTCGCAGCAGATTCGCCCTGAGCTTGGGATGAAGCTTTGCTTCTAAAGCCTTTCTTTTGTGCCTTTTCTCCTGAGGCAGCCGTATTTGCACTCCTTCGAGATGGTTTTCACGGACCGGAGGATGGGGCTACGCATCACCCACCAGGAGCGGTGGCGCCAAAGTAAAGTTATTTTGAAGTCAATGATTAACGAATCCAGTAAGTAACCCCCCATTAACTTTGTTGCATTTTGCTTGGATGTTAGGACTTCAACTTTTTGCCAACTAATGGGGTTTTCCATGCAACCACTAAAAGTTAAACTTTTAGCAGGGGAGTCAGAAGCAACCGAGTTAAGCAAGCCCTATTTTGGAGTCCCCCATGTTGAGAAGCAGGAGCAGGAGGGCACCCGACAATTGGTGCTGCAGTCCAATGGTGCGGACTGCTACCTCCTCGGCACGCAGGAGGGGTTCACAGCAGACCACGGGTTCCATGTGCCATTTTGGTTTACATCACTTTTTTGGGCGCTCTTTTTGAGGGTGCCCTTTTTGTGGCTGGTGTAAAAGGACAAGGAGACCCCCAAACATGCCAATTTATCACCATGTTCTATTAACATGAGTAACCCTGATGTGCTCCTCGTAAGTTGTGATTTCAGTATTGCGATTAAGCCAGATTGGACTGCCACACAATGATTTCATCACTGGAGCCCTTGGATGTCTCGCTCGAAGCGATTGGACAAGGCGAGAGGCCTGGTGGATTCTGGCACGAGGCATCACAAATGTGTGGCTCCTGGTAGAGACCTTAGGGCCCGGCTCCTGAAACTATGGGATGCGTCATTGTCCCTGCATGCAGGTAGAATCTGTGCGATTTGGATGGAAGTTCCCGGTGTATCCTTGCCTGACAGCCGTTTTTTTGGTTGGGGGCGGGGGGGGGGGGCAGCTGAGGGTAAGTGGAAGTTGTTGGGGAGGGTCCAAGCCAATGACCAAGCAGTTTGGGATCGGGTCGTTTCGCCGAGAGCTCCTTGAATTAAGAAGAATTTTCCAGACATTTTGGGTCTTTTTCAGGGGAAACCGAATCAAAACAATGCTTGTCCTTTGGTTTCCATTTCAAGCATCTTAAAACCACCAAACACGGGTACCCCACCAAACAAGGGTACCCCACCAAACAAGGGTACCCATGGCACCCTGAAAAAAAAAGGCACACCACAACTGCACTCCCAGGGCTGCGCAGACCTGGGAGTGCCACCGGAGACCTTTCCTGTGACTTGGACCGCTTCGACTCGCGGGGCGGGGGGGGAGGGATGTGCTTCCTCCAAGCCGCCCGAGCTGATCTCCATGCGGCCATGCCTTTAAGCCAATGTCAATCGTGGAGAACTTGGACAACAATTGCCGGCTCACTTGGGCACCAGCTGATTCCTTTAGCCCCGATCGGCTATGAAGATCGGCTGGTTCAATTTGTGAAAGATCATGGGATTCCTGGGCTGAGAATAGCTAAACAAGCCCGCTCGGTTTGTGATGCGCTCACACACTACAACGTTTTTCCACATCGACGGTGTGGGAGTGTGCTGATCGATCGCAGCAACGAAACCCCCCAGTTATTGTTTTGTCAATCCCTTGTAAACCGCATACACTCCAAGCATGTCACCAACGCATGCCATGCCGGTTGCCTCCCAAAAGGAGGACTTGGGAGTCCTCAGTTTTTTTGTGACCTTGCCCTCTTGTCGGAGACGGTTTGGCTGTAAAAACCCGCTGCCAAGCAAAGGATGCCCTTCCCCTGGAACTCCACCCGTGTCTCGGCCGGAAGACGGAAGCCATTCGAGGCCTGGCAGACGGAAGCCACGTTCCTCAACCTGAGCTTCGAAGGCGGGATCGGCAGCTGGGACCCAAAGGCACCACTGGGTCTCCCTTTAAAGGCAACCACACAAGCAGGGCTCCTTACAAGATACAGTTTGCAACCATTTGAAACATGGCTTTTAAGGGACACCACCATTTACAAGGCAATGTTCAGGTGTATAATGTAAGGATCCCTGACAAGGGTACCATGAAACAAAGACACGCCCATGTGGTTCTTCAAAGGGACAGGTGGTTATGTCCCCCTTTGGAGTCCCTTTGAACCCATCCAAAAAGAGGTCTATAGAGCCATGTCTCAAAAGTGGGTCTGGTGCGTGGTTCTTTGTTTGCTGGAGGAAGCCGAAAGGCAACCCAGCGCTTCATCGCTTAAAGAGGCCCCATCTTTGACGTCCCACAAGGGATGCAAGCGTTCAGCAAAAGTCCGGCAACGGAAGCATTCGCTTTCTGATGCAATCCGGGCAAGTGGAGAGTGCAGTAGCCTAGTAGCGGCGTATGTAGGCCATCACCTGGTGCCAGCAAGTTCTCATTAGCAAGTTGCACTAGCAAGTTCTCTTGAGCAAGATGCGCTAGCAAGTTCTCACTAGCAAGATAGCATAGAAGCCGGACTTGGACATGTACTCCTGGCAGATATCCATGGCTGGAAGCAAACCATGCGTAGCCATGTGGATAGACGTGACCCTTGCATTGATGATGCCTGCCTTCAGAGAGACACACGCTTGCAAGATTGACCTAGTTGCGGCGCGTTCTTGCTATCGGCTCGTGCCGGGCTCCTCTGAGAATTATCATCGTAGTTCCTCATGTGCGCGCATGGCGAGATTGTCCAGAGTTGCCACTAGTTGCTTGAGTGTTGCAGGCCCTGAGGATTCCAATGTTGGGCTTCGAGCAGAACTCGACCTTTGCAAGCTTAAAAAAGGCTAGGACAGGGAAAGCACGCCACGCCCGTCATTTATCTACCCCTTTACGCTGCCATGGCTGATGCAGCTCAGCAGATCATCAATGCCTTCGTGGAGACTTGGCTGCAGTGCTCCCTTGTGCAAACGAGTCTGTTGAGAAGACTCTTTGTCGGGCAACATCAAATGGGTGCGAGGTTGCACAGACATAGACACATTCGCACGCACTGGAAGAGACGAGGGGGCGGGCCATTTCTGACAACCAGATGCCTGAAAAGAAGCCTCCGCCCCCAGAAACCTTCAGGGTGCGACGGATTTGTTGGCATCGAGTTAAAGCAGGCTGCTTGGCTCGGTGCCTGCCTTTGACAGAAGTGCTCTCCGTCCCGCAACAGGGAGCCTGAGAGAAGGTCCCAGGCATTTCCCGCACGTTTCATGTTGCCAAGGAGTGTAGGTGGCAGAAGCCTTGCTTCTGCCGAATACTTCAGGTTCGCTCCCTATGGCTCAAAGCTGTTCTCCGGCCGGAAACTCCCAGCCGCTTCCAGCCGGATTTGAAGTCACTGGTGAGGGTGTTACCATTCTCCCGAGCCCCAGGCCATGTAGCAAGCAGATGGCCATGCCAAGTGCCCATTGATCAAGCAAACGATCAAACAGAAGCAGGGTTGCCCCCCTCAGAAGCAAACAACTCCAGAGGAAAAACAAAAAACGAGCTTTTCTTTGTCATGGGAGTTACTGCCACAATCTCGTCGTGCCTTTATTTATCCCTCTCGCCTTAGGAAGGCTTGGTGGCTGGCAGATCTTTGCCCACACTGCTGCCGGGAGGAAGGACCACTACCAGCAAGGTGCAGCACCCTGGCCAACGCACCTTTCATTCCTGACGAGTTCAATTTGCCAGCAGAAATTATAACGAGCTCTGGGGATAAAGTGACCTCACCCATGATGGTGGTTCCTTACTTGGCCATCCTTCATGAATTTCAGTTGGTACATCATAGTAGGTTGCCCAAAGTAGCGAGTGCGGCTATTGGCCTACACGCTTTGGCCATGTCTTCCTGTGCCAAACAAGCAGTGGCATATTTTGAAGACACTGCTATATAATTATATGATATGGCGCAGCATTTCTTGATGGTTTGTTTGCATGTTGCTCGTGCGAAGCATACGAGCCATTTGTTGGAAGCTATTAGTCGGTGCCCTTTATGAGGCAGCGGCTTATATCAAGTGATCCCATCTCACTCATAGACCAAACTCACCGAATTCTATGGTGCCAAGATGTGAAACCAACTTCACGCCTCGGCCCCCACAGGAAGGGCTGAGGATACCATGGGGCAGCCCATTCAATCTTAACCCAATCTAATCAACATGTGCATGATCTGAATACTCGAATGGATATTTACCTGGATCCCCAAAAAAAAACATCGAAATTTTGAGGGTTCCACCTTAGATCTTGGGGAAGGATACTAAGGGCACAAGTTTCCGATGCCTCCCGTATGCCAAATTTTAAGGATGTTCTGGTTCAGGCACTTGTCAGCCAGCAGCGCATGTAAGGCTGTTGTTCCACTCCAAGCATGAACATCATAAACACGGAAAGCGCTGTGCTACTCAAGCATTCCTGACTACTGGGTTCACGACCCCAGCAGGTCTTCTGTGTGCTTTGATAGGAGTTGAATACAGTACCGATTGGATGCGAATTGGTCACGCCTCAGAAGCCCATCAGCGGATTCTCCCACAAGTCGGACAGGCCGCTTTTCGGTTGCGGGTTGCGGGCTGCTTGTCATTTCGTGTATCTGAGGATGGACCGCGCCCGCACTGCTTTGCAACTTGTCAGCACATCTAACTGGCCTGACTTAGAGGGCGAAACAGCAACCGGGGCTGCGTTGCTGGAGCTCGCATGACCTCTTGGTAGTTCCAGATTGTTCTACCCTTTGCCAGACAACATGAGGCAGAAAGATGTCCAAAGAGAACGGAGGTAACAGCCGGCGGCCAGCCGGTGGCCGTGGGGATGTCTAACTACCTTCAGCAGATCCCTATGAAGGCTTCCTTGCACGAGATGTTGAGGTCTTCCACCAAAGGGATTCCCCACCCCTCTGTGCTTTCCACACGAGGAAGGGAGACAACTGGGCGCCCTCAACTGCAATGTTTGATTTTCTCCACAGGAAAGTCCGGGATGCATATTCTGAATATCGATTGATTCTTCCAGGCCCCCTATCTAGGCCACAGCACATAGGGGGCGCTTGGTGGGCCACAGCAGCGGGCGAAGGGTCGCGCAGCTCCCAGGTCGATCCACCAGTCTGGGGTGCGGCGTGTTCCCCTGGAGACCATCATGGCGAGCCTGGGCCAAATGGCGCTGACTCGGCACTCAGCAGTTCGCCCGGCACGTTGGATATGCAGTAAAACGACTTGGGGCTGCCTCAGAAAATGGCCAACGTGTCTCTTACTTTGTGAAGCAAACGCATGGGGGAGTGACGCCAGTGCCACAATGTGATTGCAGATGTTCAGGGTATTCAGTGACATTATCGTGAGTGATGATTGGGCTATCGACGTTGCTCGCCCCAAAGAACGTGAACAACACCCGAGAGTAGAATTTGGGATTCTTCTTGACCATCCCCTGCTAAAGCGATGTGAGAGTCAGATTATATATTTGGTGTGGACCCTTGTTTTCCTGTTGCCGCATCCATGTTGCTCCCGGCAAAGTGGTGCTTTCAATGTGTTTTTGTGCCGTGACTGCCAAACTGAAGCTTCTCAGAAACATGCTGGAAATCCTCCAGGGAGTTCTGCTGGAAGACTACTACTTAAACCAAAACAACAGATCGGTATTCTGAGAACACTAGGCCCTAAACCTTGCAAGTAATTGCCATGTTTCTTGAATGCGAAGCTCATATGGCAAGGGATTAGAGTTTCCAGTGCAACGCGCTCGGTCAGTTTGTGTGATTACTTGAGTTCATGCTCAGTTTGCCCGGCAGAGTTTGACTCACTGTCTCTGTCTGCATGTGCTGTTCACTACACATCTTTGAATGTTTTTGCCAAGGGACAATAGGATCAACATTACAGAGAGCCATATCGATAGCTGAGCTTGATTTGAGGCCAGCAGAAGGAATGACCGTGGTCCCCCCAAAAGGCGACAAGCGCAGTCAACGATCGAAGAACAGCAGGTGAGGTAGAAGCAAGGGTGGTGTCGCATCCGCATCCGCTTTGCGCGGGGACTCTTCAGCTTGTCCGATTTAAATTTGAGCTGTTAGCTGCATTTGCATGAACAGTCTTGTAATTTCATCACACAAGTGGTTTTCAGGGCATCCAAGAGATGGCACCTAAGACACATGTGCTGTGTTTGGCATCGCGGCACCTGGGCAGTATTGCTTCGCATGTCACGGTTATTGCCCAACACTCATGAGGATATCTGTGGGCGCAGAGAATGCAGAAGCGGCTCAGCTGCATGTCAGGGCACAGCTACTTGGGAGGCGTTTTCCATTTGTTTTAGTCAGCGACTTTTGAGAGACGTAATGTTTGGCATCATCGGTTCTTCAGGGCACTTGAATGCAGCTGTCCAGAACCGCATGCTGCTGACAACAGCCACGGAAAAGCTCAAACAAAATTGTTGCGAGTCGCTGGGACTGTTGCGCTGAAACTTGCGCGGAAGTTAGACCGTGCTACGAATCTTGCATGTTGGACTCAGACCAGGTGTTATTTGGCTGCAAAGGGCTGCCCGTGTGTCCCGCCGGTGCAATGTCTATCAAGTAGGTGCCCCTACTTATGAATAGAATGTGAGCCAAATGATACGCTGTTAAAGAGGTTGCTGCCTATGTAATTTGAAGGCTAAAGGTATCCAAACGTGGGTTGTTCGGGAAGTGCATCTCCACTCGAGAGGCGGGTTTGTTTGAGGCTTATCCTCATTCTACCAGCGGGTTACAGCAGTTGAGGACTAGATGCTTCACTCGGACAGTTGCCAAGGTGTTACGGTAGAATGCAAAGCTCTGGCAATGCAAAGCTCAGGTTGACAGCCAGCCACAATTTGTAACACCCTGTAGACATTGCTATAATTAAGAAGTTCCCCCTCAAAATCTCAAAGTCCGGGGCTTTGGAAACGAAGCTTGCAAAGTTTTGATTGACGTCCCCTGCCTGCTTGGGTTCCCTCCCTCCCCGGCCCCGCGGGAAGTCTGCCCCGACTCATTTCAAGTTCAGGGGGCACTGAACTTTTCCAGAGATGTTTTTACCCAGCAGGTACCCTGGTCAGGTGGTCCTCAACAGGTGAGCCACGTGCTCAAAACCTGGGTAGACCAACCAAAAATAGCTGCGGCCGCCTTTTTTAGTTTATTCTTTACATGGTTCTGGGTCAACCATTTTAATACCGGGTTTTGATTGTGACTCGGGTGATTTCCCTAAAAGTGAAGGTGGTCCTCAGGTTCCGTCCCAAAACTGGCTCAGCCTGAGGAGCTCAACCTGCCGTTGCATGACCTCTGCGTCACACTGATGCTGGACGATGAGCCCCGGCGCGCGAGATGAAGCCTCATGTCCAAAGGGTCCCAAGGTTCCACACTCAAAATTTCACAGATGTGGCACCTATTGCGATACCACACTGAGGCTAAGGGATTATACCCAGCCCATGGATTCACGGTGGGTTGGACCATGTTCCCTTTTACACACGACCTGCTAGATTCCATCTTGGCCGGGATAGTGTCCTTCAATTCGCCTTATTCTGGAATGTTCGGTCTGTTTGCGGGCTGCCTCGGATCATGTTCCTTTCCGCTCCCCAAACCACACGGGAGGGGGAACCGCGGGGGGGGGGGGATATACCGCTGGTTGTATGTCTCATGAAATCCCTGGGGGTAGGTGGTTTGGGGGCAAGTGGAAGTCTCAGATCCGGGGAAGCTTTGAAGGGTTCATGCAGTTACCCTCACACCGTACCTGACTGGGTGTCCTCAAGCCGTTTTGCCTTCAAACGAAACCCTTTGGGTTCTATGGACAGGGGTATCATCATGCATACAGTATCATCCCTCTGAGAATTGGGAGAGTATCTTGAAGTCTTGCGTCTTTCCTGGGCTCTGTTTCGGTGTCCCCACTGTCCGAGGAGCAAACGATCTTCGCCTTTGAGTTCCCCGACGATGAGGCCAGACGTCCGAGTTAGTTTGAGCCTTTGGATCCCTTACAATTGGAGGTGATCCCAGAAGATGGCGGGGCTCTCCTAGGGACCCGCTTGCAACGCCAAGCAGCCGGGGGGTAACAGCAGGGGGTATGGCAGGGGAGATCCCAATGGCCCCCCTTCCCCCTTGTTTTGATAGCTGGTCATGCAAACTCGCGCTCAAGGCAATGGTTAAATGCATCCTTATATATATATATATTATAAGGTCGTCGGCAAAGCTACAATGCAGCCATTCAAAGCAGGAGGAGCACGGAAACCCAGTTTGACTTCGCCAAGCCTTTGGGCATTTCAAGATGTATTCCTGCTTCGCACAGAGTTTTGCCGCGTGAAGGTCTTATTCATTGGGGTTGGCAAGGAGCAAATCTGTAAGCAGCTGCTTTCCTTCTCTTTTGCGATGGTGACCGTGGCCTAAGTTCGCAAGTTCAATCTGTTGCATAGTACCTGGTTTGCTAGAGTTCCATTGTTCAGCCCAGGCTTCAATTCACGCGAGCTTCCTGTATTCTTCCTTTCCAGCCTGGGCCCCGGGGATTTTCCACGTGTTTTTTGAGTCGTGGTTCTCGTTGCGCCAGGCGCGGGACACCTTCGCGCTGTGCCTGGGCATGTTTGTGGACACCCGGCGTTCCGAGGCGGAGGCGCAGGGTCCGGGGGGGTTCGCACGCGGGGCTGGTGCGAAACTTTTGGACGGCTTGGGCAGCGTTTTGAACACAAACAGAGTCGAAGGAAAGCCAAAGGGAAGTGCTTAGTGAAAACACGAAGGCTTCGAGTTTGGGAAAACATAGAGACCATGTGAAGACAGGTGGTGCGATATTGCTTTGGCTTTATTCCGATGGCACAACTTTGGTTTGCGCGCATCTTTCTTTCCAGGCAAGGTGATGTCCACTTGAATGGCCGGATGTATGTGCCGTGGTTTGACTTCTGAGATTGGAGCTCTGAGGAAACGCCTTGAAGTTTGAAAGGAAACGCGAAATCACGAGATTAGAGGGCTCCAGCACGAATTTCTATGGCCAGCTTCATTTGCCACTTCTTTAACTAAATGTCCAAATTCATTTCCTGCTGGTGGCGCAGGGTCTACCCATTGCTAGACTTGGCTTGCTTGTCAGAAATAGCTTGTTGCAACAAGATCTGTTCGAAACGTCCCGAACTCGGAACTTGTGGCCAGGAGGAGGCTGCCGCGGCCGCGGCAGCACCTGTGTCAGGGCCTTGGGCGTGTGTCGAAGGGGCGGTGTTCTAGTTGGTTTGTGTTTACACCTCAAGCTACACTCATGGTACCGAGGCGAGACTTACAAATTTATGGGGATGAGATAGACATGTTCTTGAGCCCAAAGAAACAAAGAACGAAACAACTGCCTTAGCTGTATACAAACCTCGTCTTGTGTATGGTGGTCTATCAAAAGATCCTTTACTTGGGACGATCTTTGGAGAAAGCGACTATCCACTAAACGGGAAAAGTTACCCGTGATTATTTTGGGGGTCAGGACTATAAATGCAGACACACCTACGTGCCCTATGTGTTTTGGACTGTCCAAGGTCCATGCCTGCCGCTCCCGTCTCCTTGCCCTCGGGCCATGTCCACGCTGCTGAGCTGAGAGGGGGCCATGTGCCGTTTGGGGTCCCAGGCGACACCCACCATTTTCAGGTTGAAACACTACGTACCCTGAATGGGATATCTGTATGAAGGGCGTCGGTATACCCAGTTTTCCCAGGATGTTTATGTTTCCAGGCTGACAAAATATGAAACAGAATGCAGATATGTGATTTTGGTGTTTCGCGGGGTTGGGCCAAAGCAATTAGATGTCCGTTCAGTCCTTTTTGGCCAGGCTACATGGGATGGCACGGATTTCGGTCTGTTTCCAACAATGTTCGAAACAAACACCGCTCGCAATGGAGTGCGCACCTGAATGGGAACTTGAACAAAACATCGCAGGATGAAACAAACCTTTTGTTTGTGGGGGGATATACCATTATACCAGTTTGAAGGGTCTTACAGGAGTCTTACACATCAAGCCCATTGACAATCTTCTTCTATTCTAGTTGGTTCCGCTAAGTTAGCCGCTAGTCTGGGACACTCCTCTTGTGGGAACATTTGACCAGCGAAGTTGTGCTTTCTGGAAGGTGCGCACCCGCCCTTCAGCAGCGACTGGCATTTCATGTGCAGGTTTCCACGTTCCATAGACGTGTGGGTCAAAATTAACCCACCAAAAGACCACAGGTTTTGGTCCATGTTGCCACTTACCAGGGTTCCATTTTGGGTAATTTTTGACCCACAGCCACATGGTGCCCAGCTCAATGATTCTCTCTCGTCGTCCTCATGAACGCAAGGCTGCAAGTCTTCATGGAAATGGCACGGCACAAGTCATGATGTTTGGCCTCTTTTTTTTGAACGAGGGCTGCTTGGCTAGGAGCTGTTTACGCTCTTGTTTTGGGGAAGGAGTGAAAACGGCATGGATGGTGACAATCAGTATGAGTATGCTTGCATGCATGCTCGCGCCATTCAGCTTTTAAGTTTGCACCACGTCTGAATTATCAGACTAGCTTCTTTGGGCCCAGTTTGTTGGTTTCCTTCAATTTTGATGGTAGGACAGTCACTCTTGATGTGTGGCTCTTGGGTTGGGAGTAGCGCATCCGAGGTGTACACGAACAAAGACTTCTGGGGCCCCACGTGGCAGCTTGGCTCAAGTTCCCGGGGGAGGTGCAGCAAAGTGCCGTTGGCCAAGCTGACTATTCGGTCAGGATCAAGGCTGTGCATGTGCACAGGTGACAGGTTTGCCAAAGCTGGCAACATAAGGCCTGAGGTACATGTTGCCGTGATACCAACCGCAAGTTTTGTGCCTTGCGTATGGTTCGACGGTCAGGGTCACCCTCTTCAGCGCTGCTGCTTTGAGGATCGATGATTAGGGGAATGGGCGCGTGACAGATGTTCCACTGGTGAAGACACCCTCAGAGCTAGTGGTTTCAGGCTGAGCTCGCTTCCAGGTGCCAAGTGTGCAACGAGTTCTTGTCCGGCATGAAGAACCAGGGCCAGGCCGGGGGGTGGCATCGGCCAGAAAGCCCCGGATCGTTGAACGTTGATAAGGTGCTCAATGCAAAAGGATGAGGTATTTCGACTGCCTCTGCAGTTCACACTGTACCAATATCCTATTCTATCTTGTGCCAACCTGCGCCTTTTGCCTGAATTTCCCTGCATGCTTGCCTGTCCTGCATGGGTCCAGGGTAGCCCCCGTTTTGTAGGCGTTGGACATGTCGTGGGCTTGCACTGACAGTTGCAAGTAGGGGTGGCAAGTGTGATCACGATCCAAGCAGGGTGGGCCCCGAAGAACAGATGCTCACAGCACCTGGGAGCGTAGTGTCAGCAACAGGACCTTGGCCCACTGCCTCGCCAGGAATGCCAGACTTGCAAGCAAGTGGCTTGCCACAAATGCGCCGCCAAAGGCAGGAAGGGCAAAACAGTGTGAGAGCGCACAGCTTTGCTGGCTGTTGGCCTGAATTATTTTGAGCCTATTAACACTTCAACACACACACTTGTAGATGTTTGCGCATTGCGAATCAAGGCAGCCACGGTCAGGTTGCTCAATGTCCATTGTAGTTGTGACCAAAGGGAGCGCCAAACCCTCTGTTCTGATGGTTGGAGGCTTGGGTGGGAGCTCTGCTCTGACGCAGATCAGATGTGTGGCGTGGAAAGCGGATTGATGCTGCTGCATTGGGAAAGAACATGCAAGCATGTTAGGCTACCGCAGCAGAGGAGCTATCCCAAGAATTTCCACTGCCCTGGGTTGCTGGAAAAAAACACATGTTTTTATTTGGATAAATGGGTCGCATGTGTCCGAGAGTGATTGTAAAACTATGAAAAAACGCCAACTTTTGGCTGAGTTCTTTGGGATCTGTCAGAATCTGGCCGGGCTTGGACCTTAGGCCTGTTCATAATATGGTCGTGGGGAACTTCCCATTGCAGGAAACCAAACCACGTCTGACCCGTTCCAAGCTTTCAATATGATTGCAAGTACCAAACATGGATTTTCTACTACTTCAGCCCTCAGAGTTGCTTCAACCCTGAGAGTTGCAGCTTAAGCTTTTACCCCCAAGGACAGTGGCTCCGGAAGACTGAATCCAACCCCGACAAGTTGACGCGTTCCTGCCGCTGTCATAAATATTCGTCCTCATGAACCATCATTTGAAGGGTCCCCTATGGAAAATCAAGGGAAACCGTCTCCACGATGGGTTGGGGGTGGGGGGCTGCGCAGGCGGGGCTTGCGGCAAAACCTCGCCGAAGGCTGGGGGTGTTTGGGGTGTCGCGTGTTCCATTTGGGTATGGGTCAAAATAGGGGGACCCAACAAACTTGGGGGCTTCGCATGTGGTTTTCCTTCGAACAACCTGACAAGGGTACTCTCAAAGCAAGACACCCGTTTGCAAGCGAGGCAAGTGATCGCACGTCCATTGCACATGTTCCAGCGTAGATGAGCCGCCTTTGTTGGGGTAAAGCGGCAATGGGGAAGGGTGGGAAGCTCAGAGATGTTTCTCATGCCTTTTGATCAGAGATGGCAGAAGTATTCAAGAGGCAGCTGTGGATATATTTAGCTCTTTCATTGCTCGATGGCACAGAGCTCGTTACTGTGCGATGATAGGGCCAACTTGTTACTGTTGAGTGGGGCATGTGGTTGTGTCACAGTCCCAATAAGCTTTCTCGACTTTGTGAACCCGTTTTGAGTATTTGCCAAACTGGGCGCCACGTGGAAGCAAACAGAATGCGTTCATTAAATCCGTTAAATCCGTGGTCGTAGGGATGGGAACAGGGCTTCCCTTTGTTCTCCTGCAATAGCGCCGGGGAGGGGGGGCGGGGCGTTGCTCAGTTTCCAACAATAAGACAAGATGTTGCAGGCGGCTTGGATACTTTGGGGGGGGGGGGGCATCAAGGAAGTTTAGACTGACTGTCCTTTGAGGGAGTATTGCGGAGTCTGCACTTTGCATGCGATTCAATGTGGTGCTACGTGTGCTCCCGGCACGCTGATCAATTGATGGGTGTGTCTAGAACATTCAAAACATGCCAGTGAAGGCACTTGCCAGCATAAAAGTTGAAGCGCACTCGCCAAAGTGAGCATGAGCCCGCTTGAATTGAAGCTCTCAGGCGAGTGCACCGCCAGCAAAAGCAGTACCGCCAGCGCCAACTGGCTCCTGGGCCGAAATGGGCAGTACTGAAGCACTGTGTCAAATGTCAGGACCGCATCCATCCAGCGGGGTACGAACTCCAACCAGAGAGCTTGAAGATGCATGCATTGCCAAGTTCATGCATCTGCCAGAGGGAAGTTGATAGTTCTGAGACGAGAGAGAAAGGCCCAACGCCCTTGGGTGCGGTCCAAGTTCTAAGGGGCATCCCGGATTGAATGACACGTTCTGTTCCCAAGGAATCCCCAACTGTTCCCAAGAAATTCGCAGAAAAGTGGATCCTCACAAGAAAACCGCACTGCATAGCCCATATACATATATATATATATATATGTTATACATGTACATATATGTATCTATCAGAGTATATATTATATGTGTATATATATATACACGCATTATATATATATATATACACATGTGATTATACATGTGTATAGAAATATATCATACACCCTTGCCGGGTTCCTACTTTCCGGCTGGCATTTTGGGCACGCCTTGACTTCAAGCCGGGGTTATGGGCTTGAAAGGTCCAAGCTCCCTGCCTGAGCCCCCGAGCCGGGATTCGACATGCTAGTTTGCAGAGCATCCCTCCGCTCCTGGATCACTCAATTCCCCCTGTAGTGTTCTGGAAAACTCAGGGACTTCCCCCCAACTTGCCCCTACATCTCCCGGTTTTCAGCACATCCAGGGGCCACCTTTCCAGTTTTGACCCACCCCTCCCCCCCCCCGTGTTGCCATGCGCGCCGCCATGCGCGCGCCGAGTCTTGTCGAAGGCTACCCGGCGCAGAGCTCGGCGCGGGGAGCGCCAGCTGGCCTGGAGGACGGGTCGAGTCGAGTCGGGCGCAGCGCAGCGAAGCGAAGTGCTGGGAGGGTCGTCGGGAGCTGTTGGGAAGGACGGGCTGGGGGACGAAGCAAATCAATGGCTTGATTGATGTAAAATTGATTGGATGCTTGGTTGCTTGGTTGGTTGGTTGGTTGGTTGGTTGGGTTGGGTTGGTTGGTTGGTTGGGAAGTTGGTTGGGAAGTTGGTTGGGTTATTTGGGTTGGTTGGGTTGGTTGGGTGGATGGTTGGTTGGTTGGTTGGCTTTTTTTTTTGGTTTGTTTTAGCAAACCAAAGGAATCCCTCGCCAGTTTTGGGGGGGCGCCTGCTTTGAGATATCCTGTTTCCCGGTCTGAGGAAGCCAAGCCGGAATCAGTTGGGAAAGTCAGTTGACATTCGTGAGGCCAAGTTTCGGGGAACTCTAGGTGTTTCCGGCCCCAGGACTTTCCCCAGGAAGCGCACAGGATCCCAACCCTCCCAAATTTCCAGCAGGCATGTTTTCGGGCGGGAGTGCCATGTAGACGCACACATAAACAAAGTCCAACATCACTTTTGATGGGCGTGGCGTTGAGCAGTGGAGACCTGCAAAGAAACAAACGGAGCTAGTTATGAAATTACTGTGATGTCACAGGTCTGAAACTCGATCTGTTCACATTTGAAAGCCGTTCGACTGGTTGCACGGATCCTTTCCTGCTGCCACCCAGAGTCCTATTGGTTCCCCCTCTGGCTGCAGCTCCAACCCCTTTTTTGTTGCCACCTTGAGGTAGCTTGCACCTTTGGAGATTGTGTCTTCAATACCTCTGATCCGCAACTGCACAGACTGCATTGCATCTACATCAAGCACTCACGCTCAATTCCTGCACGATTGAACGATTGCTACTCTGTTCCTCCTACCTTGGTGCTATTCTATATGAGCCACAATCAACCACCCGGGTAATTGCAGGTTAGCAGAGGACAGCTAGAAACGGGTGCGGCCGCCTTTTCTTCTTGATTTGTTTCGGGTGGACCCTTTTACCAGGTTTTCCTTGTGACTTAGACTGGGCCACGCCCGCACAGGCGTACCAGGACGAGGCCTTTTCGCGGAGCTTGGGCGGTGGCTTGGACCATTTCCCTGTAAAAGGGGCCATTTGTGCATGAAGTTCAACTGAGCGTGTCTTGTTGTAGGGGACCCCAAGACTGGTGGTTTTCCTTTCTGTGTCCCTTTGAACCCACCAAAAAAGAACTTCAAACAAGAGTGGGGAGTCCAGGCCTAGAAACAAGAAACCATAATGTGTGTTTTTGTCAGTCCTCCTGGCCAGCCAGTTTGAGAGATCTTTCATGGAGGCTTACTTGCGGTAGTCTAGCTGCTACTGGTACCAGAATTTGTGGTGCATGTTTTCGTCAGCTGCTGTCCACTGAGTCTCTTGAAAACAAGCAGTGGCCATGGAGGCAAGGGATGACAAGGGATGCCGACACGCCAAGAAGCCCAAATTTCGTGCAGGCCATGGGCTCTGCCCGAGATCCAAAGAAGAAGGACGGGGGCGGTCAAACCGAGGGCACTCGCGTCACTCGCGAGCGGCACCGACTACGATCTGCCGTTTTAGTAGATGGCTCTATGGGCTGACTAATGTTGACTCCGGATTATTAAACCACTGTTTATTAATATGGTTGTGTCCCCGGTTTTAGTGGGGATTTATCACTTTGGAGGGGAACACCCCCATATTAACAAACAGGGGTTTATTAATCCGGGGTCAACATTCAAAGGCGGATAAGAATCGCCTTTATCCATGTTGAACCAAACTTCAAAAGGTTTAGGGAGAGGTCTAGCAAGGGCAGCCAGAGGACGGACCACTTCTTCTGAGGGTTGTGAGGTTTCCCCGTTGGTTCTCCCACAGCGAACCCCTTGGTTTCCCCTTGACGGTTGAAGTTTCTGGCTCATCTATGCTTAGCTTCTCAGGGGTGGTGCGTTCAGGGGAAATTTGGGGAACCCTTGCCGAATGGCTGACAGGTGTCCATGTTATGAAGACAGACCTCGGGTTCCATGACATTTCAAAACTTTATGGTGGAGTCCACGGGTTTGGTGGGAAGACTCGATAAATGGAGCCAAGGGACTTTGGTGTGAGTCAAAACTGAACCACCAGGGGACAGCAGATGTTAGTCCTGTTTCCATTTGCCAGGGTTCCATTTTTGGGTACCTGTTTTTGTCCCACACCCAGTTTCAGTAAGGTGGGAACTCTGTTTGCACTCGGGCCTATGAACCCCTCGGTGTTGGAGCAGCTCTTGCGCCCTCGCGGCAGGAGCTCACAGATGGCCAGAAGCCGCTCGATCCAGAAAGGGCACCAACCGAATGTCCAATTCAAATGCCAGACTCTATCAGACTCCGGTCTAGTTCCAGGCTCACATCCCTCGGGGCCCAAGACCGTTTCTTGGAGATCTCTTGCAGAGTTCTTGGTTGGGACGGCGGCCTTCTTGCCTGTGTTGGTGTGCGGATTGTCCTCTGGAGCAAACCAACCACCGAGGGCTTGGGATCCTAATGAAGCTGTTTTAGCTGCTATGAAGGGGACGACCTTTGGTCTTAGTGTTGCCTTCCAAGGAAGCTGCGCGATGGTCGCGCAAGGTTTTTTTGTCTGCGAAGATCGCCGTTTCCGGGAACCAGGAGCTTCAGACAACAGCCAGATAGAGAAGCGCCAATCAACTCCCAACGGTTCCCTTTTGGTTTTCCTTTAGGAATTCTTTCATTCATGGGCTGTATGTTGTCGGAGAATGTAATGAGTCCAAGGAGTGAATGTGTCAATGACCCCAGCCAATTCGGCTCATTTCTTCGGGGCCAACTTGTTTTGTCCCCGCTTGAGAAATCTTAGGGAAATCCGAACGACATCAGCAATTTGGGTTTGTCACTCAACCTGAGTGAGTGCCCTCCGGCTTCCCTTCGACCACCAAATTGGTAGTATGCGGGGCTAGATGATTGCACATGCATTATAATCCGATGATCCGATGCAAATTAATTGAAAGAGTACCCCACAACCGCATTGTATTTCTTTAGGCCTTTACCCTCAACCAACATTATACGCCTACCATTTGGGCTCACTCAGATTTGGGTTTTGTGACTCCCAAAACGAATTTGGGATCTCCACGATGGGTCTGTCTCAAAACAGGGGCAGCCCCTAAACGCTGTTCGGTGTTCCTCTTGGTTTCCCTTGACGCCGACCTAGAAAGGGTCCCTTGGGAAAAACAACAAAGCGCACTCTCAAACAAACCAACCAACAAAAGACCAACAAACGAACCAACCAACCAGCAAATTCCAACAAACAAAGAAACCAACACACAACCAACACAACACCAAGAAAGAGCACTCTCAATCAAACCAACCAAAACATATGCGAGAGAAAGCCACCTCTGAGGATCGTCAAGAGGTTCGTCCAGAAGATGGTCCGGGGCCGCGAGCTGAAGATGCTCTCCACGCCGCTGGGTCGCGAAGAGCGCGGCACGTGAGTTGCCCCGGAGCCAAGACCTGCAGGGCTCCTTAAAAGATCTCCATTTTGCAACCATTTGAATCATGGCTTTTTCCACCAAAATAGAGGGTAACCACCATTTACAAGGCAATGTTCAGGTGTATAAAGTAAGGATCCCTGTTCTGGTGTTCCTGTTTTTGGAGGGGGCTTGCGGAACACGTGAGGGAAGACATTTGCTTGATGGACCGAGTTCAAGTTTTGGAGTCAACCAAACGAGCGTGCCCATGTTTGTTACATGGTATGACTGAGTGGACTCATTAAAACACGTTTTACTCAGGGTAGGGATCGTCATCAACCCCATAGCAAAGATTTAGACATCTCAAGCGAGCCATTGCCAGGGCCCACAGAGGGGGGTTTTGACCATATTGTTTAGAAGATTCCCATTCAGTACTTTGGCTCAGTCGAGCATCCCTCGGAACATATTTGTTACCTTTTCCAGCAGCCAAAACCGACCCTGGCAGGAATTGGCAGTCTTTTTTGCCAGACCCCCTGTCAGCACTCAGTATGAGTTAGCCAAGTTGAACATGAGCAAACCGACAGTCACTACGCTCCCAGTCCGACTCCATCCCCCTCGTTTTTGAGCACTGGCAAAGGCTGTCTCAGCTCCAAAGCGGCATTTGGCCAAGGACGGGGCGCTCGTTGCTGTGTTTCGTGGTACTGGACCGAGACATCCGCCACCTCTCCATCCAGTTGGCCGGAAAGAAGGCCACTTGGGCAAGAGCTTCGGTCGGCAGGGGGCTGGCAGCCCGTCTTTTGCTGATTCGTGCCCTCACCGCAGACGCTTCGAATGGGTCCTCAAACATGTTTGATGGTCGGAGAGAGAGGACAGCACCTTAGGTCCTTAGGTTATACAGGCAACATGGCCTGTAGCAGTACTGTAGTCGCTTGTTCCGGCAAACACGTGCATGTCAGCGTCGGCATGAGCCAATCTGCATTTGCTCGTCTCCCTTTGGCACAGATATGCGTCAGCCTTCCCTTTTGCTGATTGTGCAGGTCGTTTTCTGCAGCTTGCCCCGTGAAACATCCCCGTGCGAACACACCCCCTGACTCTTTTAGCTTCATTTTGCAGACCGCGTGAAACATGCTAAGTGAGACAGTTTTTTGTTCGACTGAATTTGTGGGGCAGGTAAGTTCTGGGACCGCGCCCGTGGTGCCCATGTTTGTATGTGTGTGTGTGGTTACCTGTCAGTGAGTGCGTGTATGTGTGCTTGCTTGTGTTCGTGACTTTCTGTTTTGTGTGTGTGTGTTTGCGTCTCTGTGGCTTTGCGTCTCGCTGTCTCTGAATCTCTATCTCTGAGTCTGAGTCTGAGTCTGCGTGTGCGTGCGTGTGCGTGCGTGTGCATGCGTGCACGCACGGGTGCGCGTGCGTGCGTGCGTGCGTGCGTGCGTGCGTGCGTGCGTGCGTGCGTGCGTGCGTGCGTGCGTGGGTGGGTGGGTGGGTGGGTGGGTGGGTGGGTGTGTGAGTGTGAGTGTGAGTGTGAGTGTGAGTGTGTGTGTGTGTGTGATTGATTGATTCCCTGTGTCGTGTGAGTCTCTGTGTCTGTTTCTGTGTGGGTGTGTGCCGTTGCCAATGTGCCTCTGTGTTATTTGAGGTTGGTCAACAGTGCTGGGTCACTAAATTTCCGACACAGACCATTTTGTCCATGTCCACTTGGGGAAACATGTCATTCTCACTGCGGCCATGCAAACTTATGCCAAGGACGCAAAGCAACGCTTCGTGAACTTAAAGAGCATCGAGCAGTGGCTCGGCAGTCAAAGCTTGCTTGCTCCGGCGTGGCAGATCATGCAACGCCATATTCACAGATAGAGACAGTCAAAAATCCGGAGTAGGTGAAGGTTAGTAAGGGATAGTCCCAACCAAAAATGGGCGGGGCCGCCCTCTTAATCTTTGCGTGTTTTTTTTTGTTTTTTTCATACCGGGACCTTACCTGACGGTGCCATGACCTCACCCATACTGCAGGCTATCATATGTTTGATGTTTCAGACTGGCTAATTGTTCCCGTATGTGTGGTTGTGTGTGTGTGTGTGTGCGAGCGCGGGTAGATTCAATGTTACGTGCAGGGCAGCACAGGCCATCTCGAGTATGCGCAGCAACATTTAAGCTTTGAGGCTAAGTTGACGATTGATTTGCCCATGGAAGTGCAGTTAATGACTACTGTGCACTCCAAAGGCGTTTTCAAGTCACTGAGCTGTGCAGGATCTATGTGGGCCAGGATGTGGCCGAAGATGTAGAACTGGCCGTCACTGAGCTCTCGGTGACCCTGGTGCTCGAGCCTTTGCTGTTTATTTTGGTGGGCAAGCAGAGCATGTGTGTGTGTGTGTTCGTGTGTGTGTGTGTGCGTGTGCAGAAGGAATCCCTTTATTTAGCATTTAACTGGAGTCAAGTGCACACAACTGCAAACTGTACAGGTATGGGGGGGAACCCCGAATTTCATGTCGAAGCCCGAACCAGGAAATTCAGTGGTTGTCAAACTAGTATGGCAGCTTTCTGCAATGGTCAATGAAGCAAGGGACTGAACTACATGTACAATATTTCCTTGCCAGGGTCACCAGACATGAATGCGCCGCGCATTTTGCTTTCAGGGGATTGGGCGTGAGGTGTGGAGCTTGGAATGGGAAAGGGAGTCGAATTGCTTGCTGCGGGGAGAGTGTCTGAAATGATAGTTGCGAGAAAATTGGCAGTCCCAGCTATGCCGGGATTCACCGTTTTTTGTGGCAAAAGTCGAGGAAAGCGCAAGACTCAGGGGACATTGCAGCATGGGTAGCCAGACATCCATGAAGAAGGCCTTTGCTATGCCACGATGCACGGCCAACCGTTAAATTGGTGCACTTCCACAATTGGAGTCCTGACAAGTTGGTCGGCCTGACTGCGGTGCAAAGTGGTTTGCCGTGCGAGTGAATTGGCTGATGCTCAAGCCTTCGACCTGATATTTATGTGTACCCAGCCCTGCTGTTCTAGATGTGACTCTTGGCTCGTAGCTGACCCTTGGTGTGGTTTATCAAAACCCAGTCATCGATAGTTGCGACACTTCAGCTCTTGCGGGCAGCTCTGTCGTCTGGCCCAGAGCCTGACCGGCCCTTTCGCCCACTGTGCGACCTCAAAGGGAAGCTAATATGGATGCACCCGCTGAGTACGAGTTTTGCAGAAGCAATCAATAACTTTAGACAGGTATGAGATTCTTTTGATTTGAGCTATGTAATTATTGCAGGCGAAGAATTGACGACAGAGGTTAGCAGCAGGAAACAGAGCCAGCTACTGTCACACACTACATATCGTGCTTCCTGTTTTTGCTCTTTCGCCGCTGCATGTTGCGTTGTTCTGGAGACAAGCCCATCGCTTTGCCGTTTGGGAGGTTCGGACGCGTGCGGGACAGCTCAGGACGAAGGGCAGGCGATTGCATTCGACCTGGACAACGATGAAGAGAGAGATACCTTTGTCCAGGCCCCAGGCCCACATGTCCAATGGCTCCTTTCTTTTGGCGCCGTTTTCCCCAGAAGGAGCCGCCTTTCTTTCCCATGGCTGGAGGTTTGGCCCGGGCCCTGACGGGATCTTTTGACTGAACACAGCTTGATGGCCTTTCCGCTCAGAAAGCAGGTCTTTTGATGGGAGTGTCTAGGTGCTTGTTCTGCTTTCCAAGGTTCTGCTTGCACCAAATATTGGGTACCCACTCCCTGGAAGCATATTGGCGCTGAGCATGCTGGCAATCCATGCTAACCTCTGCTGCAAGGGCAAGGCAAAGTCGTCAACTCGGGATGGAGTGTATTTTGTTTGTTTTTTAGTAGTCTCCCGCCGCACCAACGGGTGACACTGAGGTTCAAAGATGTCGATTCCTGCCAGTAAAGAAGGGATGTGTTGGTATGTGTTAAACTGGGGACCACCACAAAGTTTGGTGTCCCTTTGCTTTCTAGCACCATCAACACATTTAGTGTGTCTATGTTGGTCCTCACAGATGTTGCGAGAGTGATGAATATTGAAGTTTTATGGTCACTTGGTGCAAGATCTCACGAGTTGCGAATCCCGGAAACATCCAGTAGCCCCAACCTCAGAGACAACTCTCGGGAACTCTGAGCGTCTGCTTGAGGCGATGTGCATGCAAATGCTGCTTGGCCGGACTTAGGGCATTACGTGCCATCGTCGTTTGGTTTTTGCTGGTGACATTTTGTTGCCAAAGCACCACTCTAGGTTTTGACATCACGGGACATAGCTCCTGCTCGTCTTCTTGCATTGTGCAGTTTGTGCTGCAATCCTTGTGCATGCCACGGAAGGTCATGGAGGAGCTTTGTACATAACTCTGGGCATAGGCTTTTATAGGCTTGTTGTTGGGGCAGCGTACAGTAGGGCATGCTTGAAAAGGTTTGTGGTTGGAGCTAGTGGAATCTGGCGAAAATCCGGAAAGGCAACGATGGCGGCATTTGAAAACAAAGGCTTTCATGTTGCATGCATGAGCAGGTCTTGAGACGAAGGCCAGACGAAGCCAAAACGAAGTCTTGTCTCACGAAAATGTTCTTTTTTGAACAGTGGCTCCTTTGAATTCCAACAGATGCGAAGCAACCGCTGTTTCTAGACAGATGTATGACCAAAACCCGCGTGAGGGCAAGCCACACACCTTTCGGTGGGCAAAGATATTGACAAGCATCGCCATTCCTTTGCCCTGCTCGTGCGCCGTAAGGTTTGTGGACGGCAACCGAAAGGATGCCGAACGACGGAAGAAGAAGAAGCCGTGAGAAAGAGATCTTGCGCAGCGTCATATGAGCGGTTCGTTCAAGGTCATGCTAGACTATGGTTTTTGGTGGAGGAACATCGGGGGACTCACTAGATTACCCGCAACACCTGCAAACTCGCTACTCTCGCAGATTCCCATCTCTTGGAGCGAGCACGGACTATTGAACGTCGCTCGTATGATGCAGAGTTGAAGCGGTTTGCCTCAGGAAGCTTTCTAGGGGAACGACATGGAGCAACTGAGCCTGGCGAACTAATTGTGTTGGGAGCCTGCTGGCCGGGTGCATTGACCATATCGAACAGTCAGGTGTCATGACCACGTTGGTTCAGATCCTGCCTGCGTTCGCTCGGTGCTACCTTTGCCAGTGCCCAGGTTTCCAACTTGGCAGGTTGGCTGGACTCATTGTTCTGGCTTTTCTAAGGGTATCAACGTCAGTTTCACTCTGAAGCTTTCTTGGGGTCACCCTGAGAGTGGCAAACTCACAGGGCTGCTTGTGTTCATTAGATATTGTCAATCTTAGTCTTGTCGGTTGCTCGTGCAAGCGAAGAGAAGAACTGATGCGTTGGCAGGTGCAGATGACGAGATCATCTCTCAGCAGCAGATGTTTGAGATGAGCAAGCAGGCACGTATGGGTGATCTCTGTCAGGAATCAACCTGGATGCCCAATACGGTCCACAAAGAGTCTGATTGGTTTGCGGTCGACGACCTTGACGTGTCAAGAGGACACCCAATGGAGAACATTCTGGTATGATTGTGATTGAATAATGCAAGTCTCCTGTCTTTTCCTCCCTGCGTTAGCAAGCAAGCTATCTAGGGGGTCTAGGCCCGCTACAAGCTGGATGATGATGATTGATGATGATGATGATGATGATGATGATGATGATGATGATGATGATGATGATGATGATGATGATGATGATGATGATGATGATGCTGATGATGATGATGATGATGATGATGATGATGATGATGATGATGATGATGATGATGATGATGATGATGATGATGATGATGATGATTGATGATTGATGATTGATGATTGATGATTGATGATTGATGATTGATGATTGATGATTGATGATTGATGATTGATGATTGATGATTGATGATTGATGATGATGATTGATGATTGATGATGATGATGATGATGATGATGATGATGATGATGATGATGATGATGATGATGATGATGATGATGATGATGATGATGATGATGATGATGATGATGATGATGATGATGATGATGATGATGATGATGATGCGGCGGGGGCGGTGGCGGTGGCGGTGGCGGTGGTGGTGGTGATGGTGTCGTGATGGTGCTGGTGCTGCTGGTTGTGGTGCTGTTTCTGGTGCTTGTGCTGGTTCTGCTGGTGCTGGTGCTGTTTCTGGTGCTTGTGCTGGTCCGGTGCTGGTGCTGGTGCTGGTTTTGTTCTGGTGGGTTCTGGGTTCTGGTGATGCTGGTGCTGCTGGTGCTGGTTCTGGTGACTGTTTGTGGTGCGGGTGCTGGTACTGGTGCTGGTTCTGGGATCCGTGGTGCGGGTTTTGGTTTTGGTTTTGATGGTGGTGGCGGTGGTGCTGCTGGTGCTGGTGCTGCTGGTGCTGGTGCTGCTGGTGCTGGTGCTGCTGGTGCTGGTGCTGCTGGTGCTGGTGCTGCTGGTGCTGGTGCTGGTGCTGGTTTTGTTCTGGTGGGTTCTGGGTTCTGGTGATGCTGGTGCTGCTGGTGCTGGTTCTGGTGATGTGTGGTGCGGGTGCTGGTACTGGTGCTGGTTCTGGGATCGGTGGTGCGGGTTTTGGTTTTGGTGGTGGTGGTGGTGGTGGTGGTGGTGCTGCTGGTGCTGGTGCTGGCTGGTGCTGGTGCTGGTGCTGGTGCTGGTGCTGGTGCTGCGACGCCATCCATTCCCTTGCTGCTTCCTTGTGAACTCGGAGGTGCTCGTGCATGACTTGTCCAGACAACCAACTAACCCCAATTGTTCGCACGATAATCTTTGTTATTCCATTTGGGATGGGGCCCATGGGCAGCTTTTTGCCATGAAAAGCAACTGGTTGCAATTGATGCATAAGCAGAGCAAAACAAACCTGCACGTAGACGTACGGCCAATTTCGCCCAAAGTGGCGTCTACGAATTTCACTCCAGGCTGGCCCGGCAGAAGCGTGGCTTACTCCTCCTGCGCTGAGCAGGGGTGCGGGACCCAGCTTGCCTTTGGCAGCATTTCATTTTCTGGGTCCATAAGGGTTGAAGCTTGCAGGCCCTTGTTGCTGGTGAGGGCAGCCCATCCGTCAACTGACGCGTGACCAAAGAACGGACATTGAAATGAAGCAAGGCGGCCGTCCACTATCAATTGCTGAACCCTTGGCGATTTTCCCGTCGAACCGCTTGCCTTGTTAGACCTTGCCCGGACAAGTCCGGCGCCCGCAAGGCAATGGGCCTGTTGCGACGTGGTTTCCGGTGGTGAGGCGGCTCCAGAACGGGCAGGGCTTCAGGGTTCTTTAGGGAAGTGGCACTTTCGGGTTTTCTTGGGTATTTGAGCGGTCTAGTCCAGCCATTTACCGGTCTGCAAAAAGATTTCAACATCAAATCACGGATTGCTATGTTGAGGGAGCAGCATCGCCCGCAGTTTTAGGCTGTGAATTTAGATATAGGGAACCTCAAACATGGTTAGTGGACACACATCCCTGCCTAAATGATGCTCATCAAAGGGCTTCCAATTGAGTGGCGTGTGTTTTTTTTGTTTTTGTTCCTCTCAAGCATGTCTTGATGTTGTTCGCCGTATCTCGAGCCTTGAAAGCCCGAAAGGCAAATAAGCAAGAATCGATCCCTGTGCGGGCAAACGTTTTGAAGCATGACCCGGGCTGCTACACCAACGAAGTTTGCTAGGGAAAGGTTCTGGCGTTGGTTGGTAGCGCCGCACTGCAGCCGCGGAAGGTGCGCGGAAGGTTTTTTGCCGCTCGCGAAGGGACCTTGTTGATTTGCACATAGCAGTGTGAGTTTAGTCGTTGCCAAGCACGACGAAATCCCTCGCAGAAGCTACCTTCCTCAGTTTCCAGAATCAACTTGCCTGCGGAAGGCCCGCGGAAGCACTTATGCAAACCTATATAGACTTATGCTCGTGGAAGGTACCCTCAACACCGCGGAAGCTTCGCGCAAGGCTTCGCGGAAGGGTTTGATACTTCAATGCAAATGTCAAGAGAATAAACTCCACCACTCAATTGAATTTGATACCCATGCTTCTTTCTTTGATACGCACTCTTAAGGAAAAGTTGATAGGCTACTCAGGAACGACTGTGTTTTGTGTGTGTGTCAAGATGAGCTGGAGCTATTCTGGGACGGTTTCACCAGAGAACTGCTAAACCAAGCCATTGGATGGTGTTTGTTGCTGGTTATGTGTATATAGTCCGTACGACTTTTGTGCGGGGTTTCCAGTAAAATGGGGAAGCACGTCAGCGTGTATGACATCTCTTGTGTGACCTATGAATTTGAATCCTGATCTCAAAAAGCGCACACGCACAGGCTAGCCTGATCAAGCGTTAGAAAGCCTTTGTCCACAGTGCTGTGCGCACAGCCCTCATGCGACAGGCTACTGTTCCGACATCCCCTGCCAGAGGCGGGTTGGGCAGGAACGGGCGAGGGGGAGATATATAGTTGTTTTTCTTGAATGACTTTGAATCTATACAAGTCACCCTCCTGCTGACAAGCAACCAGCTGAGGCTCTGGCAAGAGTTGACAATTGCTCTGCCGACTGATGAATTTGGCCTCTGTACTTTGGATACGTTCCCGAGGTTCTCAGCTTCTCGGTCACTTCTTGAAGCTTGAACTATTTCCATGCCGTGCTATTTGTTTGTCGTCAGAGTTGTTTGCCGCAAGATGTCGAGCTGACTGTCTCAACTTCTTGTTCGTTTTTCAGCCGTCCTTCCTTGCACAAACCCAATGCCTTTGTCAGACCTTATCTCCAGAACAAGTTGGTCACCCACATGTTCACGTGCGGCGTTCCACCATGCTTCCACCCTTTGCGGGTTCCGACTTGAACCCGCATGTCTAGCGGAATCATCATGACAAACACAAATAGCTGTACCACAAGACACAAGCTTTCAGCAACGGGGGCCGCCAAGGCAATATAACTTCCAATGTATCCCAAAAGACATGCGACTCAATGATTCGCACAGCAAGTTGTTTTGGGGGGGAACGTCCTTCCAGAACCCACCCAAACGCGGGTGCAACCCCCCCAAAAACCGGACATGATGCGAGGCTTGGTCCACCGCCAAGGAGATCTTGTGCGGCCGGATCTCCTTGGAGGCGCGCCACGGCGCTTTTGGGTGTTTTGGGCGTGTGACTTGTCTTGGGGAGCCCCAACTAGCGAGCATGGTCTTGGAAAATGGGGATTTCCTGGGAAAGACCTGGTGGTGCTTTGGTTTCCCTTTGACACAACTTTGCGATGGTCCACAAGCGACTCCTCAATGAGGTGCTTTCCAGGTTCAAGGTTGAAAGGATACGAACACCACATTACGCCTGAGGTTTGGTACTATGAATTGCCTTACCCACCAACCCCGCGCAATGTGTATTGACCGGTGCTCGCACAGTGGTTATAGACCTCGTTGTCCCTTTGGGGAATTGCTTTGGGTAGTTGCACGCCCTTTGAGACGCAGCAGAGGCGACACCTTTTTGAAGAGCCTTGCTTTTGACCAACAGCTGATGTGACATCAATGGATGATGGCTCCAAATTCATGTTTTGAACAAATTCCATGTCATAGTTGCAGGAGACAATGATAGTGAGCTGCCAGCAGCAACCCTGGGGGGGGGTTGTATGGGGGATGGCTAGGAGTTTGCGGCATGTCCGATCCAATTGTCCGTGCTTCGCACGCCCTTTGGAGTCGGCACAAGTGTCGGGTCCAGATGTTGAAGAACGCCAGGATGGTGAAATTTCATAAAGACATGTTCACTTTCCCAGGATACCTGAAAAGCCACCCACTTCTCAGTTGTTCAGTGGCACCAATCATTTTTCCCTTTTTGTTGGTGGCTGCCCCACTAAACATGGTCTTCCCCAAAAAGCGTTCCCTTTTATTCCAGGGTCACTGGACAACTGAGACTTGGGACACCATTGGGACGCTTGGGTTTCGGCCTTGGGGACGACACAGCTCAGGTGGCCACACTGAGCGGCGACCGCCTCCGCGATGCCGGGAACCCGCAGTGACGGGCATTCGGTCAAAGATTCAGTGTCTATGGTGAATTTGGGGACGTGTTTTCTTCAGGGTACCCTTTGTTTGGGTGGTTTTACCGGAGAGCAAAGGGGAAAACACCCAATTTGGCGGGTTCTTCTATTTTGGCACATCCCGTGGTCAGGCAGGAGCAACATGGCGGACTGATTTAACTTTTCCCACAACGAAGGATTCACAATACTGTCCCATGTTGATGGTAGGAGTTGTGTTGGCCACGGCTTTTTTTCTTCATTTTGTTTACTTGCCACAAAACAAATGTGAGGAGCCTGTTGCCTCAAACCCCCCAAGCTTCTTTGGTCGAAAAGCAGAGCTCCGAAATTAACCGAAGACGTCAAACCACCCAGTGGCAAGATCTGTCATGCTGGTGACCAGGGTTGGTCAAACCAGTTTGCACAACCAGCCTTTGGTCCCCTTTCGAGAGGTTGCTTAAACAACTGATGTTCTATGAAAATAGACCCGGGGATTCCCAAGGACCCAATTCTCAAGGAAACCACCCGTTGGCTTTTTGCAAGGTCATTCCCTTCATTCCCATCTCTCGCAGCCAGGTTTCTAGACCTGGAGTTGGCCCAGCCCGATCCTGATCGCCCGATCGCAGGCCCACCTGGGGGAGGCAGGCCGCAGCTACGTGGTGGACGCCTTTGGCACCGTGCTCTCCGCGCTGCACATCGAGGATCGACTTGCTGCCGACATGGGTCGTGTTTTTTTTAGTTGTTTTTTCTCCTTTTTTCCCACGTTTTTTGTTGGTTCATTTTTTTTTGAGTTGAGGTCTAGATTGGGGCTGGTGCTTTTTGGCCTGCAATTTTAGGTGTGGTTTCCATTTTCGAGCTTGACCAACAAAGCAAGACCCCCCTGTTGTTCCCCTGGCCACCCGAAGTATGGGTTTAGAAAGGGGCACAAATGTCTCGTTTGCCGGCCTTGATTGTCTTGATGTTGGTGATCTTGGACCTTGAATGTGACCGCTCCCTGGAACAGTGCCAGCAGATGATTGGGTTGTGGGCTTCCGAGAGGCCTGAGCATAGGCCGATAATTGGATGTCTTGGCAAATGGTCGATTGTCGAGATCAGTTGAAACGCGGCCAACATGAACAAGGGACCCTTGAGGGATCCGTACTATGAACCCTCCAAGTCCTTGATCCCTGGATGTCTTCGAATATGAATATGCCCCTGCAATCAATGGCCCTTGCGCAAAGCCGAGGGCTTTGTGTGAATATCAAGTGCGCAAGGCCTCATGTAGCGAAGTTTGATACCATCTACCTCAAACCCTCTCATGAGCCTTACGGCCAGATGCTGCCAGGACACGCTGACAGTGGACTCGGTTGGCAACCTCCAGTTGAGGCCTGCGATCCTCGCAGTTGCTTAGCGGGGTCGATTTGAGCGCCTTGAGACTGAAACTCCCTTCCCTAAACCGCGCTGCGGCTTCCCTTTTGCGGAGGTAGACTTGCTAAATGGGTGTGTGTTTGTGAGGGTGCCACTTTTTGGTGGTTCAAGGGAAACCCCAAGGAAAGCCATGCACTAGCTCGGTCACCCGAGCTGGGGGTGGCAATGAAGCATCGCGTTTCTGCAGAACTTTGTTCCAGACTTGCTGATCCAGATCTGCTCGAATGGAATTTGCCAGTTGGAAAGTTGCAACATTGGTTGTTTGGAACATCACCATTTCCAACAGAACCAAAAAAAACCAAAGAAACCTCCATTTGAGGGGATAGTGTTCACGTGTGCGATCTGATCAAGCGTTGCCCACCCTTCCTTGCTAGCTGTGAGGAGGTGAAGCCGTTCGGATGTTTGCCAAGTGCAACTGAGTGTTCAGTTGAAGTGGGGTTTGGTAACTGTGCCTAGTGGTCTAGTCAACATCTCAACATCTACCACATTTCGAAGAATTATTTCCAGACAGCGAACTCTAGAAAGACAGAGCTCTACTCAGCAAACAATATGAAGCCTGACAGAACACCGTTGTCTTCGCTTGCATCAAACAAAAGGGCGTGTGCTTTGTCCAGGAAACCAACTCTTTTGGAGTCCGATTTAACGGGAAACCAAAGCAAACCATCCACTTCGAGACTCCGTCTAGCAAACAACCGTAATAAGGCCATTTCATTCCACCACTCTGCCAGACCTGATCATCCGGGCGTGAGGCGCATTACCGAGCTGGCGGAGTGGTCACAGAGCATTGCCCCTGCCACTGGGCTTGAAGGACACAACCTCAAGATACCTCGAGCTGGGTCGGTGGCCTTTCGTGTGTGTTGTTTCCATGAGTTGCGTGTTTTCCACATGGGGCAAGATGGTTTACGTAAAGTGGGCGTTCTTTTATTTGGATGTTAGCAGTGCGGTTATTGATTTGTCGTAATTATTCATGACTGGTCAGTACAGAAATGGTCAGTGGCAGGTTCGCTAAACCGACATGCACAGCGTAGCGCATTTGGTAAGAGGGTAATGCCTTCCCATGTCTGCCCTGATAGCCATCAGCATCGTGCCATAGATGAACGTTGAAGTCTAGGGGTGGACAAGAGTCAGGAGAACTAATATATTGAAGAAACCTTCTTCAATACTGTTTATTTTCCAGACTCTTGTCAAATCCTAGACTTCAACGTTAATCTACAATAGTGTTGGTGGCTATTAAACCCCCTTAAGACACCCTCGGACCCTACCACTACATGTTTCCTTTCCCAGGCGAGTCTCGTTCCTGGCGGGCGGATGAATTCGGAGATCACATACTGGTTTGCCCGTCTCAGATGTAACTTGGCATGCGACAAGTTGTAGGCTGGCTATATTATATAGACATCATGATTTCGTGGAACATTTGCCAACGATTCCTGGAAGGATTCGCATCTCGATGAAGCCTTCTTGGTGCAACGCTTGTATGCACGTCCTTGTGCGAAATATCATGTCAGTGTGTGTGTTTGTGTGTGTGTGTGAAATGGACTTCATGTGCTTGTTCTTTTTCGGGGAAGCCACGGTTGTAAATGGTTGTAATCATCCTGTTTGCAGACCAGGAAACTTGGAATGGGAAATTCGTCACTTCGCATATTGGCTTCTCAAACGACGTGGATCTCGCACTGTGGGCACAGTCTCAGTGTTGCGGTAGAGGAACAAGAAAGATCAAGAAGTGACAAGACTGTTTAGTCGCACTGCGGCTTCCCCCTGAAGGGTTCTGCTTCATGTTTTGGTAGGAATGATGATAGCCAGGATGCTTATTGAACCCAAAGCTAGAGGAGGTTGTAGCTACGCCCGCAATCAACATCTCTACTTGCTCATGTTGGACCATAGATTCGGCCGACGACTCCTACGTGAAACAAGCATGTCATAGCTTTGTGGTTGCCACTGAGGGTCAAGCAGCAGTGGGCCCGTGGTGGACCATTGTTGGCCTGCCTTGGCCAACCCGCAAGTCAGGTTACCAGGGTTTTAAGAAAGCAGCAGGAAAAACTATAGAAAGCCACGCTTCTCGACAGGTGTTTGGAGCCATCATTTGCTACTTTCAAGAAAGCTTTGGGCCTTGTGTCGATGTATGCAGAGGCCACCTGAGGCAACAATTGCAGCAGCAAAGCATGACTATTTCATCCTCCGGGAAGCAAGACAGACTTTTCCTGGGCTGGATTTTCCTCACCCATGGGGCCCTTGGCTGTTCCGCTCCCCTTGATCCCAAGCCTTTGATTTCACCTCACAAAGCCCATGGCGTGGCTTCTCCGAGGCCTTCAAGGGCGACCGCATCGAGGCGTTGCAGGTGCAGCAGGCACGGAGATCTTCTGGCACGGTGGTGACTCTCGTGGAGGGCAGCCCTGTTTTCAGGGAAAGCGGCCATGTTCAACCGAGAAGAAAACAGTCAAACGCTAAGATGGACGGATACATCCCAAAAACCTACCCTCCACCAGGATTCGGATCCTCGACATTGGCTGGTGCTTTGGATCCGGCCCAAATGTAGTGTGTGTTGGGGGTGTCTTTGTGTGTTGGACGCCAAAGGAAACCACCCATTGAAGGCCCCTTGTCAAGAAGCGGGACCTTTGAGACTCTTTTGGGACTTTGGACCCATGTCATAAGTGCCCCCTGACCTGTTTTGGCAGCCCTCCAGTTGGACAAACCACACCAATTCATTGTAGATACCAGGACTTGGCAACTGGCCGAGAAGCAGCTAGTTTACTTTTTTGGGGTGAAGCCCCGCAGAGATTGGGTGGTGCCTTTGGTCGCCGAGTCCGGAACCGTTCAGGAGCCAGCTAAGTGATTTATCATGGCGACTTATTCAGCTTTTATTTTGGGGGGATTGGTTTGCATGTTTGTTCCATGTTGTTTGGACCATTAATCTACAAGTGAACGCTTGTTCTGTTTAACTCCTTGAATATGGTACATGTGGACTCCAATGGAAGTGTGTGCCCAGTGCACGAAGGGCAGATCCCTCATCCAACAGCACCTCAAACAAACACAACGTTTAAAATAATACTATGTGTAAATAAATATGTGGGGCAACAAGTCGCTTTTAGCGGTGTCCATAAAATGTGCCACAATCGGAGGACTCAAAGAGTGGCTGTCCTCTCGTGTTAACCAACCTGAAGAAGGCACCACACGCGTGGCATTTGCAGCCTAACAAGCCCTTGGCTTTGGAGTGCCAGTTCTGCAAAGGCCCAAGAGCCAAGATGGCGGTTACGATGGAACATGTGGGCGTGGTTCATTTTGCGACGGCACCTGTCCTGAGGTTGAAGTAGAGGGACACCCGTTTGCAGGGTTCCCCTTGTGGACACACCCTTGACTAAAAAACAAATCCAACAATAAGGTTGAACCTCAAACATATTCCCATCACTCATTCCCACGTCAGTTGGGGTACATGATGCTCCAAAAAAGGACCTTTCGAGGTACAAAGAGTACTTGCTGGTGCTCAGTAGGGAATGAGCCGTTTTGGGTTTCCCGAATAAAGGAAACCACCAGTTGGATGGGTTAAATCGGGGTCATTCGTTTCTCAGGACCCCTGCATCTCTCGCACCAAGAAACTCCATATGTCGGAAATTGTTCTACCAACATCGCACCCATTTGAAGGGTCACAATGTGGGTAAATGTTACCGACAGTCGGATCCTGTGGATGCCACCCTCCCAGAAAAAGGGTTGTGCTTGGGATCATTCCCCCAGCTGCCTATCGCACCGGTATGAACGGTTTTTCTTGGGGCCTATCGCACCAGCAAGAAAGTCTCCCATTTGCTTAAGCATATTTGCCATTTTCCCTTGGTTTTAAAAGGAATGTCTCACTACTGGACTTTTTTTTTCCAGGGGTCTGAACCAAATGGAAAAAATGGGCGACTTCGCTTCGGTTCCAGGGCACTTTGGCCGCGGTGGTGCGGCCGCTGCCAGAGCCCCTGGAGCTCTTCGCGGTGGTGGCCGGAAAGCCCGAAGCGCGTGGCCTATGAAAGTGGCTCCTTAAAAGAGAAATTCTCATTTTGCAGTTCCATTTGAAATATCAGCGGTTTTTTTCCACACCGAAACAAAGTTGGAAACCACCAGACAACAAGTTGCAATGTTGAGGTGTGGCTATGGGAGCGGCTTCGTTTTTGGAGCTCCGTTGCCCAGTGGGTTGCTCCCTTTTTTCAACCTTTCTTGGGTAAGGGTTTCCCTTTAAGCTCAACCAACAGAAAAAGGGCGCCCTTTTGTCCCCATGGCCACTGGGCATTTGAGGAAGGTACCCCGGTTCTTTGGTGGTTTTAATGGGAAACCGAAGGGAAAAGCTGCAAATCGCTGGACCGCCCTTTTGAGAGGGTTTGAGAAGAATCCAAAAAATACGGAATGCTGGCTTCCTCATGTTTAGAGATACCCAATTGGTGCGTCCTCAAATAGGCACACTCCCAGGAAGTCACACCACTCATAAGATGGGAATGTGTTAAACCCCCCGGGCACCAGTGGTTTGAGAAGCCAGTCATGCCGGCTTGCAAGAGCGGCGAGTCCCTTGACACAAAGCCCCCATATTTTGCGCATCCATCTGAGGAATCGATTTTTTTCGAGGGAAGCCAAAGAAACTGGTGTTTTGGACGTTGGCGGTCCCGAGCTCCAAACCTGCACGTCGGCTGACGAAGTGCACCTCGAGGCTCCCAGCCGGAGCCGAAGGTCTGGCAAGGGTTCCAAAGCTTACCAGAAACTCAGGGATACCAGAAACTGATTCCCTGAGTTACTGGACTTTTTCTTTTTGAGAGAACCATTCTGGTGGTAAATAAAAACATGTAGACTGTGTTTGTTGCCAATCTACTCAGGAAGTGAGGACAACGTGTACTGGTTGGTGGACAAAAAACACACCTAAATGATGTCGGAAAGGGCCCGCGAGAATTTAGATGTGGAGCCATCCGTTCTACTGTTCAGCGAGAAATTCAGGTTTTGGGCCTTGAGTGATGCCCGTGTCCATCGTGCCTCACAGTAAGGTCTGATTGGTCCATGTCGCAACGGCAGTTCCAAAGGCGCTCCAGCTCTTTGGATTGCCCCCCACCACAAGCTCCATCGGACCACTCCACAAGATGAGTGGCCCTGAGGCCCTGGTGAGGCCTTCAGGTGGCTGAGCTTGGGAATCCCAGCGGGAATCCGACTGAGGTGGTTTCCAGGGCAGAGAACACCTCCTTCCAGGACCGGTCGGAAGTTTGGTTCGAGTTGTGTTGATTTTGGGGAATCCGCCTTTTCCCCTTGGTTTGCTTGACCAAAAGGACATCTACACTATGTCGTTTGTTTTCTCCATGTTACAATGTTGTTCTTCTTTGTTCTCTGTTTGGGGGGGGGGGGGTAGGATGGGGTAGGTGTTTGGACACGTCTCTGTTTTGCAAACCCGTCAGTTGACCCACTGACACCGGCAATGATTAGGTGACGTGAGAGGCAGAGGCAGAAGCCAACAAGGTTGCAAGCGCATTTTTGGTGGAAATATGCAGGTCACTTGTGACCCAAGCACCCG